TAACCAAAAGAGGAGAGTCCGAGGCTTATCTTTTGGGTTGATAAAATTGTGTCAACATTCGAGGAGGGCATTGGTTCATGGAACGAAGAAAGGGCACCGGAAATGGAAGTAGAAATGCACAACCAGCAGCTGCAGGTTGGCTTTTGTGGGTTTGCCGCTCCGAATAACGAAACTACACGGTATTCGAGCCAAAAACATAAGGTAACATTAGCTGGGTTACATCCAAGAAAGAACTGGCCTATACCAACTGCTATATCTTGGCCAATTCGCATTTGATTGCGAGGTGGAATACATCATAAGATTTCAGGATCGATTCTCCACCAATCTGCATCAAAATCTCTCCACAAAATATTTTTCGAAATTTTTTCCCATTTTTGTGGGGTCTCCCCTGCAAAATCCTGGATTTTCGTATTAGGCCCACATTCATAGCTATAACTCTGTCAATTCTCATCCGATTCTCAAAAAGGACACCTTTAACGATTTGTGGATCGATTCTCCACCAATCTGCATCAAAATCTCTCCACGAAATATTTTTCGAAATTTTTTCCCATTTTTGTGGGGTCTCCCCTGCAAAATCCTGGATTTTCTTAGAAGGCCCACATTTATAGCTATAACTCTGCCAATTCTCATCCGATTCCCAAGAGGGATACCTTTAACGGTTTGTGGATCGATTCTCCACCAATCTGCATCAAAAAAAAAATTTTTTTCGAAATTTTTTCCCATTTTTGTGGGTTTTCCCCTGCAAAATCCTGGATTTTCTTATTAGGCCCACATTTATGACTATAACTCTGCCAACTCTCACCCGATTCCCAAGAGGGATACCTTTAACGGTTTGTGGATCGATTCTCCACCAATCTGCATCAAAATCTCTTCACAAAATATTTTTCGAAATTTTTTCCCATTTTTGTGGGTTTTCCCCTGCAAAATCCTGGATTTTCGTACTAGGCCCACATTTATGGCTATAACTCTGCCAATTCTCATCCGATTCCCAAGAGGGATGCCTTTAACGGTTTGTGGATCGATTCTCCACAAATCTGCATCTAAATCTCTCCACAAAATATTTTTCGAAATTTTTTCCCATTTTTGTGGGGTCTCCCCTGCAAAATCCTGGATTTTCTTAGAAGGCCCACATTTATAGCTATAACTCTGCCAATTCTCATCCGATTCCCAAGAGGGATACCTTTAACGGTTTGTGGATCGATTCTCCACCAATCTGCATCAAAAAAAAAAAATTTTTTTCGAAATTTTTTCCCATTTTTGCGGGTTTTCCCCTGCAAAATCCTGGATTTTCTTATTAGGCCCACATTTATGACTATAACTCTGCCAACTCTCACCCGATTCCCAAGAGGGATACCTTTAACGGTTTGTGGATCGATTCTCCACCAATCTGCATCAAAATCTCTTCACAAAATATTTTTCGAAATTTTTTCCCATTTTTGTGGGTTTTCCCCTGCAAAATCCTGGATTTTCGTACTAGGCCCACATTTATGGCTATAACTCTGCCAATTCTCATCCGATTCCCAAGAGGGATGCCTTTAACGGTTTGTGGATCGATTCTGCACCAATCTGCATCAAAATCTGTACACAAAATATTTTTCAAAATTTTTTCCCATTTCTGTGGGGTCTCCCTTGCAAAATCCTGGATTTTCGTACTAGGCCCACATTTATAGCTATAACTCTGCCAATTCTCATCCGATTCCCAAGAGGGATGCCTTTAACGGTTTGTGGATCGATTCTGCACCAATCTGCATCAAAATCTGTACACAAAATATTTTTCGAAATTTTTTCCCATTTTTGTGGGTTTTCCCCTGCAAAATCCTGGATTTTCGTATTAGGCCCACATTTATGACTATAACTCTGCCAACTCTCACCCGATTCCCAAGAGGGATACCTTTAACGGTTTGTGGATCGATTCTCTACCAATCTGCATCAAAATCTCTCCACAAAATATTTTTCGAAATTTTTTCCCATTTTTGTGGGGTCTCCCCTGCAAAATCCTGGATTTTCTTAGAAGGCCCACATTTATAGCTATAACTCTGCCAATTCTCATCCGATTCCCAAGAGGGATGCCTTTAACGGTTTGTGGATCGATTCTCCACAAATCTGCATCTAAATCTCTCCACAAAATATTTTTCGAAATTTTTTCCCATTTTTGTGGGGTCTCCCCTGCAAAATCCTGGATTTTCGTACTAGGCCCACATTTATAGCTATAACTCTGCCAATTCTCATCCGATTCCCAAGAGGGATGCCTTTAACGGTTTGTGGATCGATTCTCCACAAATCTGCATCTAAATCTCTCCACAAAATATTTTTCGAAATTTTTTCCCATTTTTGTGGGGTCTCCCTTGCAAAATCCTGGATTTTCGTACTAGGCCCACATTTATGGCTATAACTCTGCCAACTCTCACCCGATTCCCAAGAGGGATACCTTTAACGGTTTGTGGATCGATTCTCTACCAATCTGCATCAAAATCTCTCCACAAAATATTTTTCGAAATTTTTTCCCATTTTTGTGGGGTCTCCCCTGCAAAATCCTGGATTTTCTTAGAAGGCCCACATTTATAGCTATAACTCTGCCAATTCTCATCCGATTCCCAAGAGGGATGCCTTTAACGGTTTGTGGATCGATTCTCCACAAATCTGCATCTAAATCTCTCCACAAAATATTTTTCGAAATTTTTCCCATTTTTGTGGGGTCTCCCCTGCAAAATCCTGGATTTTCGTACTAGGCCCACATTTATAGCTATAACTCTGCCAATTCTCATCCGATTCCCAAGAGGGATGCCTTTAACGGTTTGTGGATCGATTCTCCACAAATCTGCATCTAAATCTCTCCACAAAATATTTTTCGAAATTTTTTCCCATTTTTGTGGGGTCTCCCCTGCAAAATCCTGGATTTTCGTACTAGGCCCACATTTATGGCTATAACTCTGCCAATTCCTATCCGATTTCCAAAAGGGATGCCTTTAACGGTTTGTGGATCGATTCTCCACCAATCTGCATCAAAATCTCCCCACAAAATATTTTTCGAAATTTTTTCCCATTTTTGTGGGGTCTCCCCTGCAAAATCCTGGATTTTCGTACTAGGCCCACATTTATGGCTATAACTCTGCCAATTCTCATCCGATTCCCAAGAGGGATGCCTTTAACGGTTTGTGGATCGATTCTCCACAAATCTGCATCTAAATCTCTCCACAAAATATTTTTCGAAATTTTTTCCCATTTTTGTGGGGTCTCCCCTGCAAAATCCTGGATTTTCTTAGAAGGCCCACATTTATAGCTATAACTCTGCCAATTCTCATCCGATTCCCAAGAGGGATACCTTTAACGGTTTGTGGATCGATTCTCCACCAATCTGCATCAAAATCTCTTCACAAAATATTTTTCGAAATTTTTTCCCATTTTTGTGGGGTCTCCCCTGCAAAATCCTGGATTTTCGTATAAGGCCCACATTTATAGCTATAACTCTGCCAATTCTCATCCGATTCCCAAGAGGGATGCCTTTTACGGTTTGTGGATCGATTCTCCACAAATCTGCATCTAAATCTCTCCACAAAATATTTTTCGAAATTTTTTCCCATTTTTGTGGGGTCTCCCCTGCAAAATCCTGGATTTTCGTACTAGGCCCACATTTATGGCTATAACTCTGCCAATTCCTATCCGATTTCCAAACGGAATACCTTAAACGATTTGTGGATCGATTCTGCACAAATCTGCATCTAAATCTCTCCACAAAATATTTTTTGAAATTTTTTCCCATTTTTGTGGGGTCTCCCCTGCAAAATCCTGGATTTTCGTACTAGGCCCACATTTATGGCTATAACTCTGCCAATTCCTATCCGATTTCCAAACGGAATACCTTAAACGATTTGTGGATCGATTCTGCACAAATCTGCATCTAAATCTCTCCACAAAATATTTTTTGAAATTTTTTCCCATTTTTGTGGGGTCTCCCCTGCAAAATCCTGGATTTTCGTACTAGGCCCACATTTATGGCTATAACTCTGCCAATTCCTATCCGATTTCCAAACGGAATACCTTAAACGATTTGTGGATCGATTCTGCACAAATCTGCATCTAAATCTCTCCACAAAATATTTTTTGAAATTTTTTCCCATTTTTGTGGGGTCTCCCCTGCAAAATCCTGGATTTTCGTACTAGGCCCACATTTATGGCTATAACTCTGCCAATTCCTATCCGATTTCCAAACGGAATACCTTAAACGATTTGTGGATCGATTCTGCACAAATCTGCATCTAAATCTCTCCACAAAATATTTTTTGAAATTTTTTCCCATTTTTGTGGGGTCTCCCCTGCAAAATCCTGGATTTTCGTATAGGGCCCACATTTATGGCTATAACTCTGCCAATTCTCATCCGATTCCCAAGAGGGATGCCTTTAACGGTTTGTGGATCGATTCTCCACCAATCTGCATCAAAATCTCTGCACAAAATATTTTTCGAAATTTTTTCCCATTTTTGTGGGGTCTCCCCTGCAAAATCCTTGACCCCAGCACATTGGACCCCTATCCATGCCTATATGTCTTCCAATTTTTAACCGATTATGAGGAGGTATACTTCAAAACGTTCCTGGATGGGTTCTCCATCGTTAAACTGCAACAAACCGTTTCAACAAAATATTTTCAACAAATTTTTCCAATTTCCTCCAACCTCCTGCCCCTTGCAATTCTGAATTTCTAGCAAAGCCTATGTCTCTTTCAATTAGCATTGTTTCGAAAGGGGTTTGCTCAAGTTATCGTTACTCTACGAAGTCACCTTGCAAAACAAGACGTTAACTAATACCCTAAAAGATTAATACATACGAACATACATATATCTTTTATAAAAAAAAAATTAAAACAAACGAATATTGAACATTTTTGCTTGGTCACCTTGTCAAATTGAAACATTCTGCGCCATAGATGGTTGGACAAATGGTATATCCATTTTTCCCAGTACAACTAGGCCTAAACTTAGTAGAAACCCGCCCGGGAGACTTACGGGTTGTGCTTCTTTGGAGGATGTGTTGCTGGGCGACGACTTGACGGCTCCTTCGTTCTGCGACTTTAGCTTGGCAACCTCCCTGCGAAGTGCTGCAATCTGGGGACCCGACGGGAACAAAACAGAAAAATCGGTTAATTCGCAAAATAATCAAATGGAAATCCCACAAGTGCCGGTTGGGACGAACTGACCTCGCGATCCTTTTGCTCGCAGCGAATGTCCAGCTGTTCCTTTTGCTGCTGCGTCTCGGCGAGAAGGTCGAGGGCGGTTTTGGCCTGGTCCTGGCCTCCCTGGAAATCGGGGTCGCCGGGTCCTGCCGTTTCGGCCAGCACCTCCTGGGCCAAATTAGTCAGCTGGCCCTTCAATGAGGTGAGGCTGTTGTTCAGCCACGACATCTTCACCAGCTGCTCTCTCCCCTCTCTGCGGCGGTACTCCTCTGTCAATCGTTTCGTGGGTTAGATGGTGTCAAGGATGTTGTTTTCTATTTGGCTAGCCGGGATTCTGTTTCCTGCTTCAGGAATTCCAATGTTTTTGTGGGGTATTTTTTGCGTGGCACAAAACAATAACAATAATAAGAGCTCGTTACATAGTTCCATCTCTGGAATAAGTGTCATCTCTAACGATATTCCACTTGTACTAAGAAGTTCCATCTCTTAAGAAAATATCATCTCTAGGGATATTTAAAGGGAAATTTTTTAAAATTTGAAATTTAAATTTGATTTTTGGTTTTCCAAATTAAATTCCAAATTAAATTAAAGAATTATATACACAAAAATGTATGCTTCAAGATAGCAACAACGGAGTAATTTATTTTAAAAGAGATTTCAAAAAATTAAGGAAACAAATCATACATCTTTTTTGAAGTCTTTTCTTTCATATTTTGGTTTTAAAAAATATATATTTTACTGTTGCTTAAATAATAATATATAATAGCCAGATTACATAAAGTAATGGTTTAAATTTATTGTTTAAATGTCAAAAACAAAACAAAAATAAAGAAAATATCAGTTACTTCGATACAAAAATAAGATATTTGTAAATTCTTAATTAAGGCTTAGATTTAATTTTAATAGTCTACTAGTTGATGTCATCCCCCCCTCAAACAAGAAAATGGAATCCTCGTTCTTCTCATGCAACGTTTATTGGAAATCAAAAAACATTTGCTCAACACAAACAAAACTTTGAGGGATGAAGGGCAACAGCTTGACATGACTAAATGAGTTGAGTGGTGGCATTGTATTTACAGCCTGTTCCGATGCCTGATCCTCCTGCTCCTGCCTGATCCCCCTCCTTCCCTCCCCCCTTAGAAAGTACGTGGCTGGGAGCCGAAACCTAGACCCACACCACGCATCGTGTGCGTGGCCGCTCGCGCCATCTCGTACTGCTGCTCCATGTTGGAGAACATGCGCTGCCGCAACTGGACATCCGACGGCACGTTTGTTGCCGCGCCTCCTCCTGCTCCTGCTCCTCCAGGCGCTCCACCGCCGCCGACCGCTGCTCCTGAACCCTCAGCGGTTGCACTGCCGTTGCTGCCCGCGCCCTCAGCTCCTCCGGCTTCCTGGCTGTGAGCTTCGCCTTCGCCACCCATGGAGGCGGAGGCATTCTTGATGCCCATCAGCCGCATAAACTTTGAGGCCACCTTGCCGTCCGAGTCCTGGGAGAAGTGAGCATTGCCCCACTTGTTGGCCGAGTCCTCGCTCTTCTTGGAGCCCCACAGCAGCTTGCGCTTCTGCTGCTGCTCGGCATAGCGGTTGGCGTTTATAATTCCAGGATTATAGTAGCTGGGCAACTGGATCGGGGTTTCCAAGGCCGACTGCGGAGTGCTCAGCTCGAGGGACATTAGCGAGGGTATTTTGGGTGCATAGTTGGGCGTCGGCAAGAGTCCTCCGCCGCCAGCTGTGGCCGCTCCTCCCAGTCCACCGCCTCCTCCGGCCAACAATCCACCGCCTCCGGACGCTGTTCCGATCGACGAGCCTGATGTCATGGCAGCAACTGCTGCATTAGCGGCTGCCAGTGCTACGGCAGCCACTGACGAGGATCCACCAGTGACTCCGCCACTGCCCTGCAGGTGAGCACCACCGCTACCACGGTGCGTTCCGGCAGATTGTTCGTCTCTGGGAGATCTGGAGCGGTAGTGGCGACGACGTGAGGCGGGGGGCGTGTCATTGGCCGAGCGGGAACGGGAACCAGAGCGCGAACGAGAGTCACCACGACGCCGGCGACTGCGATCGTGGTTGTGATGATGTTCCTTGCGCTGCTCCTTGTCCTTGCCGCTGTGATGATGGCGACTGCTTTTCTCCGACCGGCGGCGATCGCGGTCACGGTCACGGTCTCGATCATGGTCACGATCGCGAACACGTTCACGATCACGATCGCGTTCCCGATCACGATCACGATCCCGTTCTCTGTCGCGCTCACGCTCGCGCTCTTTGTGTCCGCTGTTGCTGCTGCTCTCTTTGGTTCGATAATGGCGATGGTCACTCTGAAATAAATGGTGTGACCAAAGTACATTAATTTCTATCAAGGAATTGCAAGGATCTATAATACCTACCTTATTGTGATCCCGATCACGGCTGCGTTCCACATCTCGCTCTCGCTTTTCCCGCTCACGATCCTTGTCGCGATCCCTGTTACGTTCCCGCTCACGGTCTCGGTCACGGTCACGGTCTCGGTCACGATCTCGTTCCCGTTCTCTGTCCTTGTCCCGTTCTCTATCCCTGTCCCGCTCTCTTTCGCGATCTCTGTCACGCTCCTGGCGCGGGCGACTGGGATGGGAGTCCTGTAACAACAGAATGAAGTGGAGGCGGCGCGCCACCGAGGAGTAGAGCATTAGAAACGAGTCCTTGAATTGGTCGCCGTGTGCGGGCGAGTAAAGGATAGATCATCTAGGTGCTAGACTACAAAGGATTAATCGGAACTATCGTATTAATCGATATAATCGGATAGTATTTGTTAGCCGGCCATCAGCTGGGAGGGAATGGTTCTGCTTCTGGGCTCGCTGGCTCCTTGGATCCTAGATATTATTTACTTTTTTTTTTTTAGAGAGTTTGTTAAATTCTATTTGATCGATTTTTGATTTTTTTTTTTTGTTTTTGTGTTTTTTTTTTGTTTATTTTTTATACTCACTTTCGTGCGGTTCGATCTCTCTCTTTCGTGCCACCACCACCAGTGAGTGTTTGTTTGTGGGTGTGCAGGGGGGCTTCTGGTGCGAGAGTGTGCGCGTGTGTGTGTGTGAGCGTGTATGGTGGGGATGGTGTGTGTCCTGGAAGTTGGATATTCCACACACACACACAAACACACACACACACACGTAGACACACAAGCACAAACACGAAAAGCCACAAGGACACACACAAGCCTAGTTACCTCTAGTTATCGATGCTATCGGTGCAATCGGAAATCACTGCAATCGCGCGATTACTATCGATCGAGTATCGGAATCATCAATCGGGTATTGATTTTTTTTTTTCGATTATTTTGTCATTTTGGAATTTGTTTTCTCTTTTTTAATAACAACAACAATGATAATAAAATGATAGATTTTAGTGATTTAAATATTTAAAGAGTGGCATATAAAAAATGTTGTAATCTTAACTAATCTAAGGCCAAAAACAACAACAAGCGGACCGACCAAACAGACCTTCCAGTACACCGGCAGAGTATAAATATTGGACTGGCCCTGGGATTATATAAGCCTAGTAATGGTATTAGATATACATATGTACATTATATTAAAATACTGTTTTCTTTTTTAAGGGCTGGAGCGCAGAGATGATCGATAAAATGGGAATGTTATCGATAAATTAAAAATAAAAGTTTTTATTTATTTTTTTTGAAACTTTTTACCTTTATTGGACTTTAAAGTTTAGTCCTGTTTACCTTAAGTAGGCACACGCCTCTTGTGTATCCTTATAATTAATAATTTGGCATAACCAAACTAGGATGGCCTACATAAAATATTGATTTGTGGGGCAGAGACACCCCAAAGAGACACACTGCGGCACTGTGGCACTCTAAAATTCATTCCTCATTCCTCGAGATGTGAATTTTTAAAGCCCGAAAGTGGCATTGAATGGCAGAGTGGCAGACTAACTGGCAGGCTGGCTGGCAAGATGGGTGTTTTATTGATTTCTGTTGCTATCGCATTGTCCGCAAGTGTATAGAACGGATGCGGGCAGGAACAGCTGCAGTGACAGTAAATGCATGGCATAATGATGGAGCATAAAGCACACAGTGGTGGCACACAAGGCACATGGTCCATGAAAGGATGAGATGAGAGATGGCACTAGCTGGGGCACTGCCACTGGGGGGCTAAACGGGCTCCAACCCATAAAAAGACAACAAAACAAAAACCACCGCACATATTTAGCACACATACACACACACACACAACATACACCACATACAAACAATGGTTAGGATAGAGATATATATGTATATATATAGAGGACAATATCGATTTGGGGCCGGAACATTCCGATTTGGAAATGGATTGAGATTTACCTCATCTATACGGATGCGGCTGCTGCAACTGCTGCTGCTCCTGTGATGTTGTTGCAATTGCAATTGTTGCAACAGTGGAGAATTGTTATTGTTGCGGTACTGTTGGTGTTGGTGCTGATTATGCTGCGATTGTTGTTGTTGTTGTTCTTCCTGCTGTTGTTGTTGTTGTTGTTGTTGGATGGGTCTATTATGTTTGGTTTTAAATCCAAAATTTTTGGTTTTATGAGGCGGGCTACTGGCGCTACCGCTGTCTCTGCTGGCATCGCCATCAGCATCGCTGCTCAAGTCATTGTTGTTATTCTTTTTGGCCCTTTTCAGTTGCTGTTGCTGTTGTTGTTGTGGTGCCTAGGGGAATTTTTTTTGCAACTATTCAGAAACAGCAAATTCGCATTATTTTTCTAAAGCTCTAGCATTACAACTAATTGTAAATAATAAAACTTTTTTTTTCGGGGGTATTGGATAGCTTGGGGGGGCTTGAGGACTAGGATGAAGGAGCTCCACACTTGCATACACCACAAACACACTCACGCACTCTCACACACATGGTTGGACAGAAAAAAAAAGGAAAAGGGCGCCCGCACGCCACTGCCAAAATGAGAAGAAAAAAAAAAAAAAACCAAGAATGTGTACACAAAATGCGAAGAAATCGCATGGCAAGATATCTGGTTATTATTACTGTAGTTTTGACCTGCTCCGGTGCTACGGCGTTGGAATATTTACCCGAATTTGGTAGCCAGCTTCGTCCTGGTCCTCCTCGCTGCTGTAATTGACCAGCGCCTCCATTTTTTCGACGACAAAATGCGTCCGGGGCCGAAAAAAAAATTATAATAAATTGCTCGCAACTAGAGATGGTCCAAAATGGTTATTTGTGTCGATATTTGCCCACCGCTAGAATATCGATACTTTTGGGAAATATATTTTCTGGTATTTTTGGTATTTTTGGTACACATACATGCCAGACAATTGACAATGGCGCCATATTTAAATTCCGGCACTTCCGGATAGTAATAGGGTTCTACAAATACATTTTTTTTATGGAATTCTCTGACTATATTCTCTCCATTCTCAAAAAATACTGATTAATTTCCCGTCCAGCGATAGTTTCAATATAATTGAACATTTTCCAGCACTGTTTTGCTGGTTAGCAATTCTCATCTTGATTTGAAATGTTTGTAAGCTTTAAATCATTTTCTAAATTTAAATAATACATGATAATTTTGTTGAAATAAATGTTCTTTATTCTGAGAATTCTTCGGATTACAAAAATATTAAAATGGTGATAAAAATTGAAATAAATGAATTAGTTTTTCGGTATTTAAAATGGTTACAAAAAATTTTATAAAAACTTGGAAAATAATTTTGAAAATAAAAATGGGTATAAATTGAGTATAAATTATGAAAATAAATTTTTTTTCTGGTTTGATTTAAAAATTAAAAATAATAAATGAAAAGTGTTAGATCTAAAGGCACTAATTATTATTGGCGATTTTTTTTAAATCGACCTAAGGGCACATATTTCTTCGTTAATTTTTTTTTTTTATTTTTTTGGGTTTTTTTTTCTTGGTATGTCCTCTTAGCTTGTAGTTTCTTCTTGGTTTGTAGTTTCTTTCTTCTGTGGTTTCAAATTCAAACATTATTTAATGCTTGATTTATGGTCTCGAATATGGGATATATCTTTTGGAGTTTAAAATATGATTAAGTCGGTTTTGGGATTAGTCCTTGCGCTTCTGATTTGGCGGCGGGAGTGGCGGGAAGTTGGCCTTGCTGAGCTGGAAATCCTCCTTTGGCGAGGTCTCTTCATTTTCCCCCGATTCGCTGGAGGAGCCAGTTGCTCCACTGTTGTTGCCTGATCCACTTCCTGATCCTGAAGCGCCGTCTTCGCCCGAATGGTTGGCTTTGGCTCCCGATTTCTTCTTTTTCTAAAGGGAAGAAAGGATAATAAATAAATAATAATATAATAATAATAATTATTCACCTGATATTTGCGTATACGTATCACCTGAGCCTTGGTATAGAAAGTATTCGGATGACCGTACCAAGTATTTCGTGGACGAGTTCCAGGAGGACGAATCTCCATACGACCAGACAGGCGATATGGCGAAGGCGTGTACTTGACCTTGGGATGCTGGAACTTCAGCTTGAAGCGCAAAGCCTGCCGATTCTGGCCCAATCTTGAGCATCGGCCACCGATGGGCCGAGTAGCCACTGGCCCAATAGGCTCCAGGGTGGCCTTGTAGCGTTTACCCATCGGCATGTCAAAGAATTTTTCGCCATGAATGGCGTACATCCGGACACCGTCCAGAATCTCCTGGGAGAGGTCGTCCGGGAAGACTTCTACGTTCCACGCATGGCAGGCATCATCCATCCACTTCTTCCAGCCGTTGAAGTTGTCGGATTTGCGGTGGAAGCGGCTCGGCGAGGGATGATTAGGCTGTGACTGCGATGAGGATGCTTGTGGCTCCTCTTGCGAAGATTGGGGCGGCGGCAGATTCTCCGGTGGTTGTTCTAGCGGGGGCTGGATCGGTTGCTGGATCGGGGGCTGAACCGGAGGCTGGATCGGCACCTGTACCGGGAGCTGCATCGGCACCAGTACCGGGGGCTGCATTGGCTGCTGTACAGGATGTTGGATCGGCACCTGTACAGGATGTTGGATCGGCTGCTGTACCGGGAGCTGCATCGGCACCTGTACCGGGGTCTGCATCGGCACCTGTACCGGGATCTGCATCGGCACCGGTACCGGGAAATGCATCTGCTGCTGTACCTGAACCTGGACCGGATGCTGTACCTGGTGATGTATCGGATGCTGCTGTTGCATGTTGATGATTGGCTGCTGGAGATGCTGATTAAGCTGCTGTTGCATCAAGTGTTGCTGCTGCTGTTGCTGTTGCCGTTGCTGTTGCAACAATTGCTGCTGCTGATGCTGGTGCTGCTGTAGCATCTGCTGCTGCTGCTGTTTGTGCTGCTCTTGCAACTTGTGCAACTCCTGCTGCTGCTGTTCCTGCAGATAGTTGGCCTGCATGTGTTGCAACTGCTGCTGTTGCTCCTGCTGGCGGATAGCCTGGATATGTTGCAACTGCTGCTGTTGCTCCTGCTGATAGATAGCCTGCATGTGTTGCAAGTGCTGCTGCTGCATGATAGCCTGAAAATGGTCCGGTGGCAAGTTGGCCGCCTGGAGAAACGCTTGCTGCTGGTGATTCGGCAGACTCGGAGCATTCGGTGGCATCCAATGATTATTCTGCTGATGCTGTTGGGCTATCTGCTGCTGCCACAAGGCTTGTAGTTGCTGCTGGACATGTGGATCCACCTCCAACTGATGCTGATGCTGATGATGGGTCATATGCTGCTCCTGTAACTGGACTGGACGCTGCTCCTCCGGCTGATTAAAATGTTTCAGCTGCAACTCGGATACATGTTTCAGCTGGGACTCGGATACCTGTTGCAGCTGCGACTCGGAGACATGTTGCAGTTGCTGCTTTGGATAGTGTTGCGGCTTCTTCTGGATCTTCTTCTTCTGCTGATGTCGCTGTTGCGGGTGGAAGGACGAAGAGTGGTTTCGGGGCACCACATCAGGATGTCTGGAAGCGTTCTGGCGCGCTAGGGCTTTGTAACGCTTCCGCTGCTGCGGTGGAATCAAATTGGTGTGGATCTCGGGCCAGATGGAGACATCATCGCCCATGCAGAGGCGAACCACCTCCTCGTCGACACTCCAGATGCTGGGCAACCAATGGCCGGGATAATCACGGTTACTGTCCGGGTTGAATGGGGCACGAAAAATGATGCGCCGCACCCCATCCGCAATGCTCAGCTGGGGGGCATCCGAGTGGCCCAGCCACTCCACGGTGCCGAAGGTGATTCGGGACCGCTCTGCGGCTCTTTCCCGAGGACTGGGGCCACCGCTCTTGATACGCCGCATCCTGGCCTCGTACCCGATCGGCTTCAACGGGGCGTTCTCATCCACCTCGAACTCATCGTCACTGTCCTCGGGTTTTGCAAAGCATATACCTGTTCCGTGCAACCATCCGTCCAGGAAGCTCAGATGGAATGGAGTGTTCCCGGGTTCTAGGGACGGAATCTCAAGAATTGTGCCGCCAACAAGAGCGCCAATAGCTTCGCCAATATCACGCCTGATAGCGCGACGCTTGGCCTCATCCAGGCCAGCAATGGGCACCACTGGACCGATATCTAGACTAGCATCATGGATGGCCAAGGTCTCGATAGGAGTGGTCTCTGGTGGATCGTGCCCGTTCACTGGATGATGCGATGGCCCTGGAGTGGAGTCCATGGCCGGCTCCTCCAGGAGAGAGCCTGAATTCGAGTTGGAGTTGGATGGAGTGACCGAACTAGTCGATGGAGTGGAATACTCTTCGGGCTGACTCTCCACCGACTTCTTCTTTATCTTGGACTTGGGGGGGTCCTTCACCTCGGAGTGAGCTTTGCGACGATTTCTGTTAGCAGTCTGGAATCCCTTCAGATCCATAAAATTTCCCAGTGTTAGCGGATTGCTGTGGTGGCAGTAGTGCTGCATGAGCTCCTTCGCTGCCACCGCGCTCTCTATGGTCTGCACCGAGTAGCAACGGGTGGTGGTGGAGGTGGTGGTGGTGGTGGTGGTTCCGATGTAACTGGAAGTGGTGCTGTAATTCCTGAAGTTGTGCACCGGGACACTGCTCTGGCGCCGAAAACCTATATGGATGATGGAATGGATTACCATAATGGATATATAGATATAGATATGGCCCCAAAACCCAAATGAATGGCTTTCTTTTTAAGGAGATTATTTATAATGGGTGTCAGAGGTGAGATATATTTAAGCCAAAGTCATTCTTTCAAGGTGCTATATGGATCTAGTTAGGATAGACTATAAATATTAGTATTTAAAGCATTTCAAGATGAAGAAATGACCAAAAAAAAGGTGAAATATGGCTTAAATTAAGGTTAATGGTTAGCTAAAAATGAGTATAATGGTAGGTCCTTGCTCCAAGACCTTAAAAGCATACATCTAGATCTAAAATCTATAAAATATAGTCCTTAAAATAAAAAAAAATTCATATTCAAATGGTGCTTTGGTTAATTCAAATGACAGTTTTGTTTATGATTTATTTATTTATTTATTTTTTTTTTTGTAAGACATGTGATATGGCACTTAACCCAGAAACCCGATGAATTGGTAAACAATCGACAATGTTATGATTTGGATTAAAAACAATAAATTATATCATTCGGAATTTATTCTCAATTCAGTGCATCATTTTACCTTTTCATTGTCTTTTTTCATATTTTTACATATATATACATATATATACATATATGTTTATATCTTTCCAAAGAAAGCAGCAGCAGTTTCCTATTTCTTTTTGTAAAAAAATAACTTTTCTGGAAATACACTTGATGTGGATAAAAAGAAAGAAATCAGAAGGAATAACCTCAAATTTTTAAAAAAGATTCAATATTTTAAAAATATATTATTGTTTTAAATTTAAAACCAAAAAAAAATAAAAATTAAAAACATCTAACCACGTGGAAGCTAAAACACACACGTGTTCTTCTTCCGGAAATAAAAAAAATGGCGGCGGAAAAAAATGGCGGCCGAGAAAAATGGCCGCTGAAAATTTTTCCTGCACAAAAGGTCACTCACAAATTATTAAAAAAGAAACCTCTCATTTAATTAATGTCTTGATAAGCCTTATTCTTTTTATAAAATAACTTTTATGGAAAGAAAACAAGGGTTTTTTGTCTTGAAAACTTTTAGAAAATAAAATGAAAAAGCTAAAATTACTTTCTTCCAAAAAACCACGTGGATGAATGGCAAAAAAAAAGCACAAAAATCTAACAACAGATTCTTGAAGGCTAATCTTTCCTAAACTATTATAATATATTTCACTTTTCACTTATATTTTGCACTGAATATTATGAATTTTATGGTATATTACCTGGAATCTAAACTTTTTTGACTTTTCAAGACCAAAAAAAAAGGTTCAGAAGCGAAGACCAAGGAACCAACCCTTCTCGTCAAAGGCCGGAACCGAAAAGAACGAAAAGCGCGTGCGCGACCTGTGACCAACACTGACCTGCAACATTTTAGCCCACTAACCAACACTAAAAGGGGTGTGTGTGTAAGTGTGTGCATGTGTGGGCAGAATAGGAAACGGCAGCTAACAGAGCGAGACAACTAATGTGGGCCAGGATGAAAGCACAAAAGAGGCGCCAAAAAGTAGCGTCCTCTTAAAGGGAAAAATTCTTGTCTTTTTTTATGAAAATCTTTTCTAAAGAATTAGAATTAGAATAAGAGAGCAAACAATGTGATAATAATTTTTAGAATTCCAACAGAACTGGAAAGGGGGTTTTTGTTTTGATTTTGGATTGGATTATTGAGATTGGATTGCTTTGGCTATAATTTCACGTGGAAAGCACTTTTCCCCCCTGGTCAGCAGGTATGAGGGAGGGGGTTCAATGTCCAGAGCTTGTCTTCTGGTTTTGTTTATCAAGTTGAGTGCGTTTTTTTTTTGTTTATGCCGCCGGACAGACGATCCCATACCCCAATCCCTTCTATATATATATATACTGCCCCGTATGATAATTATTTTCGACTTACCGCCAGTTGTTTGGAGCGCCAGCGACCTGGTGACCACAAATTTCTTCGATTTCAAGGGCTGAGGGCAGGATTAGGGGATTAGGATCAGGATCCACAATAGAATATATATATTCTATAACTTACATTCCGTGTGGCTGTGAACTCCAAACCCAAAAAAGGTACTGGCAAACTGGTAGCCTGGTCCTTTTCCTCGTCCATTTCATCGGCACTCACATGCTCCGGATCCTCCGGATTTTCCGCTTTCGTTGGCACTTCCGGATCACCGGTTCCGGTCTGGTCCGGACGCTGGTAGACAATTTCATTGTTTTTCTTGCGATTTCGTTGGCGTTTCGTCACGTACTTCATAATGGCACCGATCACTGACACTTCTAAGACTCAAACACTGTGGCACACCACCCACGAGACGACACTACTGGACAGCCCGAAGCTTGGACGACGAATGAGCTCTTGGCCGGCCTGCGGGAATATTGGCAGCACATTAGAGGGGGACGCAAGGTATTATCTTCCTTAAGGGCTCCAAAGAGCAAGAGAGATGGCCAGAACGGGCAGCGCTGCCACTCCATGGCAAGAAAAGGAGAAGAGAAAAAAGAAAGAGAAAAAAAAAAGACACAAAATGGATTGTTTTTTTTTTCTGATTTAATGAAAATGTTCTAATTAAAGAATATTTAAATAAATAAGGCTTTTTAAAATATGATTTATTGTAGAATGTATTACAGTTACTAAGGGAAAGGGATGGATGATGGTTTTTGAGCGGGAAAAGTAAAGAAAAGAAGAAAAAAACACCTTTTTAGGTGAAAACTTCAAGAAATCAATAAATAGTTTAATCTATCTATTATTTTACATAATTTCCTTAAAAACAGCAAACTCATAAATCAAGAAACCACGAGGGGACAAGAAACTTGGCCAAATTATGACCTTGAGCCACGTTTTCAGGAGCATGCCTTAGGAATCACATGGAAAATCATTAATTTTAGATGGTTTTCTAACTTAAAAGTTCATATTGCTACTAAATAGTTACATTTTTAATTAATTTAGCCGTTTTCTAATTGATTTTCATTGAAGTTTTGTCGATTTTCTCAAAAAAAGCATGCGCGCATGCGCAAAAGCAATAACGGTAGTTGCATTTATCAAAAGCACTAGAAGAGGGAAACTTACGGGAATTATTTAATATAGAACTAGTTAATAACTAGTAAGAGCCTTTGTTTTAGAGAGCAGACTTTATAATTAAAGATGTAAACAAATGTTTTGCAAATATTGAAAATCGTTTCTTTTCGCTTGCACAAACACATACATACATATCTGTTCATACATACATATATATGTAGAGCGAAAACGGATCATGAAATGGCCTTCTTGAATAGAGCAAGAGAGGCGATAAAAATGATGGAAGAGAACCATAAAAAATGGTCTAAAATGGTGGGCCACGATTGGTCCATACAGAAAAGACAGAAAAGTTGCGCATGCGCACATACATACACACATACAAAAATCGTTGCTAGAAGGAAGGTAGTAGAAAGAAGGATGAGAAAAAGGCGCAATTTACTAACACTAGTAAAAGAGCTAGAAGAAGAGCTGCCATATCGTCGGAAAGCTCAAAAGTCCAAGAAAACGCGTCAAAATTGTATTAGTCATTAGATTCAAGAATTTTGTCCAAGTGTAGCGTTTATAGCCGTCATTAGCAAAGAAGTGTTCATTGGAATAAGTCTCTTTTCCGGGCAGCCGGACAAAAATTTCCGTTAAAACCAAACTATAATTTAAATATTGGGTAAGTGTTTTTCTACTAAGAGTGAATGAAGATTATACAAATTATAAACATAAATAAGGAAAAGCAGTGCAATTTTAATGAAAAAATTAGCGAAAAAAGAGTGATTATTTAGTTGGATAGGATGATGCTCTTGGGATGCTCTTTTGGAAGCGTCCTCCAATGGAAATGTGCTTCTCCAGAACGGTGCTTCCAAGAAGGGTAATCCTCTAGATGGATGCTTCTGTAAATTGGCGCTAAATCGAAAGTTACTTCTAAAATTAAAAGAAAAAAAAACGAATATTAGAAAAAGTGTGTCTGTGAAAGTACATGAATGTATTTGTGAAAAATGATTGGAGATGATTCTATTTTAAATCGTGAAAAATGTGTTTTTGGTTCTTAGCAGGTCTATAATTTAGTAGGAATATTAAATCAAGTGCTTGTTTTAGCTAAATAAAAGAAAAAAAAAATTGGACACGAGGTTTAAATTTTAGAATCTAGAAATACAATAATAAAGCATCCATACATACATACACATGTAAGTATGTGGGTGTATGGATAAAAAAAGAAAATGGAGTAAAACAAGATGAGGATTTATTATCTCATATATATGTATATATTTATTTCTATGTATTTGTATGTATGGATGAAAAAAGAAAATTAAGTTAAACTAGATGGCGTTGAGAAATCTGTTTTTCAAGACATAAGGCTTCATTATTCCAAAGCTATTCTAGAGTTCAAACAGTAACGATCGTGTTAGAAAATAATTATTGCACCTAAATAATAAATCACTTTATTAAAATAATTTATAGACAGTTTTGATCTGAAGAAAAAGTAAAAGTATCCTCGAGAAGCTAGGTGGAGAAAATTAAACAAAATTATAATGGAAATGGTATGTACCCAAACATTTCTATTATTTTCTTTTTTTTTTTAAATCATTGCATGTATAACCAGTATTAACCCATAAAGAGTAAGTTATTATCTCTATTAATTATTAAAAAAAACATCTAAAAACAATACTGTCTTTAAAAATTTCAGTAAAATATTAACAATCTTTTAGAACGAAAAAGACAACTAACAGTATTAATTGCGAAGGGAAATAAATTAATATTACCCGATAGTTGGTATTAATCGTAACGGTGGAAGAGAAATTTCCCTTTTTTTTTGGTATAGTGGTATTTTTTTGTAAATTGAAAAACGGTCATACTGCGGTCGAGTAGCGCCAATTTCGTCTTGTTTTGATCGATTTGAAGAGCTGACGGGGCTGTTGGAAGCCGCGTTTGTTTACCCGGCTCATTTGGAGCAAATATGTCATACGATGCGGACTATTTGTACGCTCTCAGATTGCAACAGGAGCTGGACGCCGAAGAGTCAGATGAGCCGGCTTCCAGTGGCGAAAAAGTAATGCGTCTTAGAAACCTTTTGGAGATCGAAGTCGTCATTTGTTTATATTTCGTGGTAATCGGTTCTATGTGTTTCACAGGATTACGAAGACTATCAGATGGCACTGAAGCTCCAGGCCGAGATCAACAAGCAGGAGGAGAAAGCCAAAATATACAACAAAGGGCGTTCGGTCTTGAGCCGCCCGAAAGATCAAGATGAAGACTTACGTTGGGTTTATCCCAAGCCCCCCCAGGTTAGTGATGGCTGCAATATCATAGAAACATCTAATTGCTCGTCCTCTTCCCAGGCCAGCACTTCCAAAGCCATTGCTCCCGGGCGTGGAGTTCAAGCTCAACATAACGAATTTCTCAACCAGACCCAAAATCTCGTTCATCCCGAGTGGGAGCTGATTGATCCCACACCAGATATATACGCCATGTTCCTGCGATTCGACGAGAAATTCTTCCAGAAGCGCCTGGGCGGCGTGTGCCTGGAGTGGAGCAAGCGCATGACAACCTGTGCCGGTATTTGCTACCAACGTGGCAATTTCCATATCAAGGAGATAACCATCCGCCTGAGCGAGCCTCTGCTCAAGTTGCGTCCGCGCAAGGATCTCGTAGAGACGCTATTGGTGAGTTGACCCTGGTCCCCTGGCATGAAGGAGTGGTGCTTATTTCGATATCATTGCAGCACGAGATGATTCATGCCTACTGCTTCGTCCTGAATATCCGTGAAGGCAACGGCGGGCATGGCCCGAACTTCAAGCGCATCATGGGTTTGATCAACCAGACGGCCGGAACCAACATCACCGTCTACCACTCCTTTCACGATGAAGTGGCCGCCTACCGCACCCATGTTTGGCGCTGCACGGGCATCTGTCAGAATCATGCGCCCTTCCAGGGCTGGGTTCGGCGCAGCACCAACCGTGCGCCAGGTCCATATGATCAGTGGTGGGAGAAGCATCAGCGCGATTGCGGCGGCACTTTCCAGAAGATAAGTGGTCCGGAAAACGGCAAGAACCCATCTACAAAAGAGAAGATCCTGAAGGGGCCAAAGCCAGTGCAGGAAAAATCCCCTCTCGATGGGTGGCTGGGAAGGAAGACGGTTAATCCTTCGGGTGCCTCAACCTCTGCAGGATTGACCAACAATCGGGGATCTGTAGGTGCTGCAGCACCCATGCTAACGGGCTTGGCCGCCGCCGTGCCACCCACATCCTACCCGGGCCCGTCGACAGCACCGTTTGCCGGGGCTGGGGGATCAAGCGGATCGGTGAATCGCGGAGCCAACATCATGAGCTTTGGTGACTTGACCAAGGGCACTGGGCCAGACAAGGAGAACGAGCGCAATGGTGGCGCCGCAATGACTGGAGTGGGCTACCAAATGAGTACCAGCAAAGACTCTGGCGCTGTCATTGATATAACTGGAGAACCGAACGTATCGTCTACTCCGCATCCTCGCGAGCGTTGGCTGCGCCGCGTCGAACAGAACTCTGGCGCCCAGAAGGAGCCGCCAGCCAAGCGTCGTCGTACAATGGAAAATGACGAGCCGATCATCTCTTGGGAGAGCTTCGATGATGATTTACAAATCGGTGAGGCGACAATTCCAATGATTGAAGTGCTAGACAGCGACGACGAAGCCGATGGTGCGGTCGTTTCGCCCGACCCGGAGTTGCTGGCCAGCCAGGAGCTGATGGCACAGATCAAGCGCGAGGTGATGCTAGACGAGTCAGCACAGTTCGACGAAGATGATATCGTTATGATCGATAACGAGTACGATGAGAATTTGGACAAAATGAAGGATCAGAGCATGGACGCGGCCGCCGAACTGGCCGATCAGTCACTGATTGATGATTTCTTTGGGGAGGATACCCTATTGCGCGACTTCCACACCCAGAACGATGTCCAGGCGGTCGGGCATCAGAACTCGGGAGACGCATCCGGGGAAATTGTGTCCTGTCCCATTTGCTTTGAGAGGCTCCAGCGTGGTCAGCTGGGCAATCACCTGGACGGCTGCAGCATCAAAGTTAGCGTCGAGCCGCCATCCTTCAAGCCAAAGAACATCGCTGGAGGATCCAAGGGAAAGAAGTCATCCACCGCAGGCGGTGCTTCCACATCCTTTGGTAAGAGCTTGCTCTCCTTTTCTTGAATTTCCTCTCTCATCCTTGGCCTAATCCTATCCAGCTTCCACTTCAACTCGTGCCTCAAAGACATCCACTACCAATACTCGCTCATCTTCCGGCCAATCGACCCGTAAGAAGCTCCAGGAATACGGATACACCGCTGAAGAGGTTGCCGCCTTGGACTTGAGCGACTCCAGCGACGTGGCTGAAACTTCGATGACTAAGAAGAATACGGTGGAACCACTGACTCCGCGCCAGCTCCGCCAGCGCGGTCTCTTCAAGGTGACGGTCCAGTGCCCCCGTTGCGGTGGCGAGTTCCTAGGCCACCAGCTTGAGGCCCACCGTACCGTCTGCCCAGGCAAGCAGAAGCGTTAAGATTAAGCTTTAGATTTAGGTTATCCATTCCATTCCACTATGCCAAGAAGCGGCAGCAAGCCATTATTTCCTTTTTTTTTGTTTAATTTAAAGAAATTTTTCATTTAAATCGTTAATATATAAAAAAAAATGCGTTTATTCAATTACAAGATACGGCCAAAGTAGCGCAGGTTGCTCTTGTGCTTATATCGTTGGGCCAACATCGGCCAGTGGACCACAAAGAGATCCGCCAGCGGCAGGAGGAGGCGGCCACTCAGGGATAGCGATTCCACGCGACAGAAACTCTCCACAAATATGATTCTAGAGTTGGAGGGGAGGCGGCCGAGGGTGCGCAACAGGTGAGCAGCATAGCAGAAGGGGACACAGGTGCCGGGTCCGTTGCAGAGGATCAGCTGCGGACGATCCCGCCACACCAAGTAGCAGCTCCAGAGCAGAGCCCACAGAGTGGTGAAGATGCTGGTTAGCCAGGACTGGCCCACGCTGCGGCTGCGCGGTACTTTGATGAACTCCGCCTTGGCGGCTACTTTCGGCAATAGCTGCCGCAGATACTCCTCCGATGTGGAATCGCTACTGGCCAGGATGAAGCGGATCGGCATGTAGCAGGCCACCTTGGTAGGGTCCTTCTGCTTCAGCAGTGCCTTAGTCAGGCGACCCATCTCAGCCGTGTGGCCACCGGAGCCCAGAATCACATAGGTCATGATCTTGTCCAGAACTTAAAGCTATTGTTTATATTTTGACCGGTTGCCAGTGCTGCCAACCTTATCGGAGTGCTTATCGTGCTGACAAAAGCTCGTTGTTATCAGGGCTGGCAAACTTCAGGGTTAAAAACTTGCCATCTGGCATCACCGAGCTTTGTTTTGATTTTTCTTGTTGAGGAATTTCGTTTATATCGGAATTTGGACGGAATAGCCTCCGGAAACGGATTTGCCCATCAAAGTGGCTATGTTCAGCGCCGCCAACGGCTGCAAGCGCGTCCACAGCATCGAGGTTGAGCAGCCGCTGGAGGCGGAGCGGGTGGAGCACAGTCTTCTGCTGGTCAAAGGACGCCTCCTTCCGAAGTGTTCATCCGCCCGCCAGTTGAAGGCCACACTCCGCCTGCGAGGCGATCGTACCGTGGAACAGCTTACCCAGCTCTCTTCTGTCGGGGAATTCAAGCTACTCTTTGACTTGGACAGCCAGGAAGGAGTCGAGGACTCCTTATGCTACCTGGAGCTGCGCTCCTGCACAGGTGTCCGTTTAATAAGTATCACTTACAAGCCAAGAAACAGCTCCTACAAGGTATATAGGTTGCTATTCAAAAAACCCCCCATCGAATTGCCTGGGAGCTTGTGTTTTTTTTTTTATCGATTTTTCCTCGTTCAGGTACAACCCCTGTTCGTTCTGTGCCAGGACGAGCAGGCTGACAGGGAGCAGGAACTCCACACACTCATTGATCTCAACTTGCGTCTGGTGCAGAGCATCTACGCCCACAAACTTCAGTCGGCCGGCTTTCCCAATCGGACTTTCACATTGAACGGATCCTGCTGTTCGTTCCGGAGCCAACTCACCCGGGAACAGGCTCTCGCCAAGAGCGAGAACGAGCTGTGGCAGCACTTGGCCGGTGAGATCATCGCCTGTCCGCAGTGGGGCCATCAGATTCGCCTGAAGTTTGTTGCCTTTGTGGCTTGCACAACGTACGACGGTGCCGGAGTGGTGGCTAGCGAGGACACATCGTACGCGAACATCCGACGACACCTCAAAGGACACGCCGCCTTGGGTGGCGGCGGATTGGCCCTATTCGGCAGTGCCCATTTCTACGCCTGGCCGCGAACCTTCTCGGAGATTGGAGACTGTGTCCGGAGCACTGAACGGGTGGACATTGCCCGGCTGCCGGACGAGAGCAACTATCGACGCACCTACGGCGGAGTGTACGCCAGCACTTTGGGTGCCGTGTGCCACGAACTGGGCCACTGCTTCGATCTGGGCCACACCTCCGAGGGGGTGATGGGCCAGGGATTTGACTATCTCAACCGAGTTCTCACTGTTGACCAGCTCACGGAGCACCTGCCGCATCGGTTGGTGGAGGGAGGAGCAGCCGCCGAGAGCGCCGCAGGATCGGCAGCCCGTCCCCGCTTCACCAAATTGAAACTCCAGCCCGGCATCAAGTTGCTGGACAACTATCACAATCAGAGACGCCACGACAGCTTCTACTTTGCCCGCAACTGTGCCGTGATCCTCGCCCATCATCGCTGGCTCAATCCTGACCTAGACATAGCGGATCCGGAGCCGGCCGAGATCCAGATTAATTGGGCCACCAAGGAGATCATCTCGAACAGGACACTGCGGCTGGTGGAGCTGCGCTCCAATCGCAACAGTTTGGTGGCCCATTACGAGGAGTTCCAGCCAGAGGCTTCGGTTCATCGCTTCCTGCTTCCAGCCTCACTGTGGGATCTCCTGGCGGAGCAACGTTCTCATTACGCATTTGTGCTCACCACCAGTGGTGATACTAAGCGCCTCTCCTGTGATTCATAGGGGTCTCGGAGGAAGTTCCTCGGTGACTAGCTAGCTGGTGAGTAAATATTTTTGGTTTTTCTTCATCCAATCCCACCCACTGTACTTCTTGGCCTTGAATAGAGTGCTTCAGTGGCTGCCAAACCTCGCGCTGTGGTCTGGGCTTCTAAAACCTCGCTGCGGGAGCCACTATTTCCGCCCTCTCACTCCCCCTCTCTCTCGCTCTCTAATTGGTCTAAGCAGGTTTTGACTTGATCGTCAGCTGACTCTCTCTCTCTCTTGCTCTCTTGGAGCTAAGACAGCGGCTTGTTGTTTGTTGTGTTTTGTGGCGACATCATCTGGGTTAAAGCTCGTTCCCCCTCCCATACCCCCGTTAGTCATTACAGACTTAACCCTTGAGTAAGTCGCAGTGTTAAAATACAATTCATAGCGGCAGGTGTTTTTAAAATAAATATAAATAGTGTTTTATAAATTTTTTTAAATGTTATACAGTTAGTTAAGAATATTAGTAATTTGTTTAAAAATTAAGTAAAATAAATATCTAAAATATTATTTTTATTATTTATATTAATTTATAAAACCATTTCTTTAGTTTCTTTAGGTATATATATTTTTTTAAAAAATAAAATTCCTTTGCAATCAATGACCTTGTCAGGTGAAGGGTTAAACCCTGCCCCTTTGAGGCACCCCTCCTCTATATAAGCTGAGAAAACTCGTATTTCACTCTCCATTATCGGAGCGTCGGAGCGGCGAGAGTGAACGGGGTTCGATAGTAAAAAAATAAATATAAAAAAAAAATACCCACCGATAGGACAAAACCAAAAAAAACAATAACAAATCTATTTGAAACGACGGCCCAACCGATAAGATAAAGACACAAATTAATGTTTGGGCACCAGTGCCGAAGCATTGATTCATCACTTTTTCGCACCTCCACCTCCACCTCCTCCTCCTCCTACTCCTCCTCTAACCCTATGATATAGCCTTAAACCATTTCCATTTCCTTCATCACTGCTGCAGGTGCTCCACTCTCCGACTCCGGACGGACTACCCCTCAGTCTTCAATTGGTGCTTTTCACGACAAGAAGTCGACAAACCGCAAAATCGCAAACAAGATTGCAAATAAAAAATAAAAAATAAAAAATAAATATATAAATTATGGCTGCTACCGAGGGATCAGCTCGAATTCAGTTCAAAACATTGAAGGGATTTCCGCCCAGCACCGATGATAAGCTGGAGACCCAGGCCTTCCTTAACGCCGCCAAGGAGATAGTGACAGTCATAGGTGATGGCATGACCCATGCTCCAAACTAAAAATAATATATAATAATAAATAATAATAATAATATGGTTTTTTTTATTTCAGAGAGCTTCGGCAAACTCTTTACGCCAGTGATCAGTGATATGAATGGAAATATTAATGTAAGGAAAATAAAATATATATTATATTAATTAATTAATTAATCTTTCATTCAGAAACTAACTAAAGCCTATGGAGCGGATGTCCTGAAATACCAATATCTGGAGGATCTGATCGTGTTGAATGTTAACGTTGATGACTTTGCGGCCAATGCCCTGTTGTGGCTGAAGCGAGGACTCCAACTCATCTGCACCTTCTTCGAGAACATCTACAACGACGCCCAGGGCAAGGAGGCCCTCAAGCAGCATCTCCAAGATGCCTACGAGCGCACCCTGAAGCCCTATCACGGGTTCATCGTCCAGAGCACCATCAAGGTGGGTTTCATTCCAGAACGACAGGGCATAGAGGTATAGGAATTGGAAGAGTTATAGCTATGGATGTGGGCCATGTATGGAATTTTATAAATCCTTATATTTTATTTAATTTTCAAGAAAATATATTAATTTTTCGTTTATTTTTAGATAATTTATAGCTGGGTGCCTACTCGCAGCCAGCTGCTGGGCCAGGGATCCGCCCTCGAGGAGAACATGACCGTGCTGGCCAGCTACCTACCCACGATGCGCTCCCACCTGGACGCCATCGATGCACTGCTGAAGGCGCACAGCCTGGACGACGCCCGGAAAGTGTGACTGCTTAGTGTAGCTTAGCTTAAATAGCTTATACTACTTTATTTTTAATGTACGTGTGTGTCCAATCCAAGTAAATCCCAGAGCCTTACCCTGTTTATCACTTGGATTCCGGGGATTGGCGGGCGCGTCTTTTCTGCCCACTGGAGGCGGGGGATAGCTGCTCCTCGGGCGGGTTCTCCTCGGGCAGCTCCTCCTCCTCGTTTAGCTTCTTCTCCAAGTAAACAAGGAAACCGGGTGGGCTGGACTTTGGGTTGCGGAACGGCTTGCAGAAAACAAAGTGCACCAGAGCCACTACCACTTCCAGAGCTATCAGGGCGAACACCGCATTCGAGATGATGCGCAGCCATAGTGCATGGCCGGCGACCGCCAGGCGGAGGAATACCATGGCGGGCAGGAGGATACAGGGGGTTACGGTGAGTAGCAGCCACATGGCGGTGGCGCCGGTGCAGAGATTCACGGAGTAGCCGGCGTACAGGCGCATGAACTCGGCGGACACGGCCAGGAGGTAGGCCACCAGCAGGGAGAGGCCATTCCAGTTCCACAATTGATTCACCTGGAGGATAATACGAAGGATAAGGTTGGAGATAAATCTATGACTGCCAGGACTTACCCTAATCACCAGGTGGATCAGGAAGCTCATGGCCCACACCAGGGACACATAGACATTCGCCTGGAGCAGCATCTGGAGGAGCAAGTTGGCCCGGTGTGGGGCTACAGAATAGGACATACTTCAAGGAGTTTATGGTTTTAACTTTAACTTTAGTTATTATTTAAATTTTTAGTTAATTCCTCTGACTTTCCTGTCAAGTTTGTTGTCTTTTTTGGAAAACTGTCAGGTTGCCAGGACAACCACCAAGTCAGCTGGAAAGGACGACTAAAAGTTAGGAACTGCGGCACTACAAGGTAATCCTGGCCAGGTACTGGCCCTAGGCTAACTGCTCGGACACTCAAGAGGGTTATAGAAGCCTTAAAGGATATAGAATCCTTAAGAAAAGATCTAAGATCTTAACAAAAAATATTAATCTAAAAATTAAAAATAAATATCTCTCACTTTCTTAAACTAATTTTAAATTAAATTGCCATGACAACAATATTTTATTTTTAAACTAACCATTAAATTATAAATTATAACCAAAGCATTAAAAATATTAAGCAAAAAATTAGAAAAAAAAGAGATTTCAAGATGCCAAGGCATCTCGGTTGGGCCATCCTTGGCGGAGTGGTCCTGGCTGCCACCGTACTGCATCTGTGTGAGGGCAACTACTATCGGGATCGGCGGAAGAACTGCCTGGACCTGCACGCCAATGGCCAATCGAACTGCTCCAAGTGCGCCGAGCTCTACGTCTTCATGAAGAGCCGCGGCGTTCGCCGATGTGAGCACGTCAACGGACGATGCTTTCCATATCGGACAGTCTTTCCCAGTGCCCGGACCTGTGAGAGGATCTGCCAGCCGTGGATTGTGCACGCCACCCTGCACCTGGTCACCACACCCAAGCCAGTTGTGATAGTGCCCGCGGACTATTCCGGTGATTCTTCCGCGGATGGGGAAGAGAAACAATAAAGTAACAGTGTTATGAGGCTTTTATTCGATTGGAATGGATGTGGATGTGGGTGAGGTTCAGAGAGGTGTTCAGGATAACGATAACAACGAGATTCAGGTTTCTTTAATACGGAACGCTGGTATTGATGGCCACCTCCAAGGCAGTCACTAGAAAAAAAAAAGAGAAACATTAAAAACTCAGTGGAGGATGCAGGGAGTAGGAACTCACAGAATCCATGATCCTCCTTGTAGACCAAGGAATTGAGAATCTCGCCCAGGGTCTGATGGCACCGGATGTAGGTCAGCTCGATCTCGCCCACTTGGTTGAGGGCCAGATACTCCAGACTCTTGCCGCCAGTCGAGTCCCGACTGCCGTCATCCGATAGCGATGCATCCAGGCCGAGAGCATCGCCCTCGTCACTCAGATAGCTGGTGCAGCTGGTCCATTCCATGTCCAGGACAAAGACCAGATGGAACAGCTGCTCGAGAGCGATGCGGAAGGCAGTGAACTCATCGGAGAGCAGGCAGAAGTTCTTCAGCGACGTGGTGTGTTCATCGATGAGGCTCTTCAGCTGCCGGATGTTTGTGCATTTCTCAATCTTGGTCTCGACCCGCTGTCCCAGGCACTCCATGATGTGGGTGTGCAGGCTGTTGATGAGGTACATCAGCCAGAAGCGTAGGATCTCCAGCCGGCGCACCGTCAGCCCGAGGAGATCCAGCGGGGCGTAGGGATCGCCCTTGGACCGGCGGATAAACGACAGATTCTCCAACTTCCAGAGGGCCCACTTGATCTTCAGCATGAGACGCCACACCGCATTGTAGACCTCCATGTGGCGGCGTCGGATGACACGGTGCAGCGAGAGGGACATGTCGTAGGCGATCTCAAGACCGTCCAGGGCTTCGTAGACCTTGATCGAACCGCTCTTCACCTTGGAGGTTACCGTAAAGCGCATGCCAGAGGCGAACCTCGGATAGTGCGTATATTGCACGTCGCACAACTCGCTGGTGAGCTGGGAGGCGCGAGTCCAGGTCTCGCCACTTTCGATCCGCCGGAAGAGCGACTGGTAGAAGGGCAACAGTATGAAGTAGCCCTCCAGTAGCATCGAGTGGCGCAGGAAGTGCAGATGGCCGCCCACTCGGAGCTCCTTCGTGTACGCCTGCATGGCATACACATTCGCCAGAGTCTGCCGCCGGAGGAGGATTTTTCCCAAAGCTTCCGGCACCTCGACGCGCAGCTGCATCCTCGTTGCACCCTCCAGTCGCTTCAGGAGACTGCCCGCGGCCAGCGGCTGGCGCATCTTTCCGCTCACACGCTTGTCCTCCACCCGCTCCTCCACCATGCCGACAAACAGCGTTTGCAGATCGGGATTGCCCATGGTGCTTGCACCGGCCAATAGCTGGTTATGTTGCTCCTGAATCAGGGCCTCCCTAGGATCAACTACCGTCACTTCCCCCGCCGTCGGCATGCAAGGGGAGTAGACCTTCACCTGGGCGATCAATTGGTCGGCCAGCTCCTCGTACAGAGACCGTGGCTTGGTGTCGTACGTGGCCGCGAGCATCTCGCCCAACAGACCCACATTGGCCAGCAGTTCCTGCGAGTCCCCAGAGTCCAGAGCGTGCTGGAGCAATAGCCTGTAGAAGGGGCAGCGCTGAATGCGTTTGAAAACTTCCCTAATCCTCGGATCGTCGTCTTCACCCGGAGTTCGCTGGCGTACAGTTCCGCTCTGTTCAATGTCCACCTCATCCACCCTGTCCCCGGATACAAGCTTGAGTTTATGATCCACGTTGGGAATAGTTGGGGAAAACTCACCATCGCTCCACGATAAACTCGCTCTGGAAGTCTTCCAGCGAGCCCCGGCTCCACCAGGCATCGATAATGTCCACGTAGCGCTTCAGGGAGATCATGAGCAGGGCAGTGGCCATTTTCTGGTGCGGCACATGGGGCATAGTGTGCCTGTAAAGCCTGGACAATAAAAAGGCGCTGCGCAGGAATCGCGGACCAATTTTCAGGACGGCATCATCCACCAGACGGCGCAGGATGTGAAGCTCTCGAAATGGCTCCCGGAATCGTGCCACGAAATCGAGCAGAGAACCTTTTGTGGGTTCCGCGCTGACAAGCACCTCGTACTCCAGCAGGGAGGCACATATGGGCTGGAGCAGGTCCTTCACGCCGTACAAAAAGCAACCCAGAGTTCCTGTGCTGCCATACCCCAGGTACATAATATTCGACTCGATCAGCCGGCGTACCTTCCACATGTCGTCCATGGCGCGCAACACCTCCGTGTTGAGGATGTGGCGTATGGTGCCCTGGGAATAGACAAGTGGGATGAGTTTAAATGGGTAGAATCCTGGCTACCTGGAAGCCTACCTCCGACACACTGCAGATGCTGATGTGCTCCCGCACTTGGATCTTATGAGTAATCTTGTCCACCTCAAAGAACAGACAGCTATTGGGCCGAACGAACATGAGGAGGATCTCCCTGAGCAGGTACACCTCCGAAGTGGTACTGGGCAGTCGATAATCGATAAGGCCACAGACATTACGTTTGAGGAACTGCACGTAGCTGACGGCGAAGTTGGCCATCGGATGTGGGTTAGGGGGCTTCGTGAAGATTTGCACATTCGGCTCCCACTTATAGCTGTGGACGAGGCGCAACAAGCGCTCCGGATCCTGCACGCTCTTTTTTATGACGGTCGCCAGCTTGGGCGGAATCAGGGACGGCAGGGGCGGCAGCTTGCACCTTCTGAGGCGATCCCGATGAATATTATTCAGAATCAGCGCCTGGGGCTGGGTGATGCGGAAGTTGCTGCGACTGGAACGAGGCGCGGTAGGCAGGAAGGTGTTCGACTCGCTGGTTTGGATCGCTCTTTCTGTCTCCTCCATGGCCCGCTCGTAGACATTGTTCATGTCCAGCAATTCCAAGGAGGTGTTCACTGCCAGTTCTGGGTTGCTACTGCTCGAGTCGCTGGAGTCATCCGAGTCTGTCCAATCCTGTGGCGAGAGACGGATGTAGAAATGTTGGATACTAACCATGTAACCTTTCTTACACTTAAGCTATCCGAAGAACTACCGCAGGGGGACGGCGGTGGAAGTAAATCCTCGCTTAGCAAAGCCACCCAGTCGACCTCCGCCTCGGCTGGATTTGTTCGCGGTGAGCACTCCTCAATGGCTAATTGGTCGGCGTCTTCCACAGACTCAAGATGATGCAGGCGGCGGTGCTCCATGCCACTGCGATTCCGACGAATGTTCTGCACTGGTTCGTATGTCATTTCCAGGACCATTTCGAGCAGCGACCAGAGCACATCCTGATCCGACTCTGAGATATCTTTGCTTGGATTGGACAGGATTTTGGCGCTCAGATCCTTGATGGTCTCTCCAAATGTGGTCATATTCTCCACCTGAAAACGCTCCACCAGAGCCGCCAGCCGTCGACTGACCTCATGGCTGTTGATGCTCAAAGATCGGCTGTTCCGCAGCATATTCCATGCCATCTGCTCGTGCCGCAACAGTTCCCGATTCGAAATCTACAAAGGATATTCCAATTGAATACCAATATTGATGTGCATTTCGAAACCTACCTTTGGGTCGATCAGCTTTCTGATCAAATTCTGCAGTTGGAAGCCCATGTAGTCATAGCGCTCCTGGGTCGTCATGAATCCCGACGACCCCTTGGCCCCGCCACCCGACGAATTAGCCAGTTTGTTTTTTTTTGGCTGCTGCTAACGAAATTAAAACAAAATGGCGCCCACTTTACAGAAACAATTCTTGCGGCCAAGAGCAGTGTGGCCAGATCATTGGATTCGAAATGTTTTTATTTTATTGATTTATTTCAAAATATTTAAATAGTCTACAAATATAAACATTTAACATGAGGTTTTAATTAATTCTCAAAGCTTTAAACCTAGTTTTAAGAGTTTAATTGGAAAACATATACAATGTAAGAAGTTTAGTTTAAAATATTTATATATTCATTATATCATGCAGTTTAAAAATATTCAAAAATTTATTCATAACAAAATTTTTTCCTTTAAATATAATTTTATTTTATATTTTAATATAATAATAATTTTTTAAATATTAACCACACTAATTAAAATTATGTGGTAGCACCCAACAAAAGAGTGGCCAGCTAAAAAAACTAAAAAAATACTGCCACAAAACATCCCTGTCCGCCACTAACGCCGTTGATGAAAATTCTGCCGGTCGGCCTAGAACTCTTGGGTGACGCATGCGTTTTGACGGGCGTTTTTCCGCTGACTGAATTTCTCGCTTTGCATTTGCATAGGAAAATCTACAACTAGCCGTTCGAAAAACACCAAAAATCAGCTCTCGAGTGCGTGAAGCCAAATAGAAGATATCAGTACACGTAAAGGCAAGCATCAGCCGTAGCAAAATTCACGTTGATCGTTGTTTTTTGCACGCCGTAACGGAGAATCCGGAGAAAAGCTACAAAATCTTTGCCATTCCTTTATTTTTTTTTCGTCCGTGAGCGTACGCGTGTGTGTGTGTGGTCGCATAAATTTACCGATATTTCGCCTGTCTTACCTACATACCTCTCGCCCTCGAATGTGTTAGAGCGAGAGCCACAACGCGCAGAGCAAAAAAAAAAAAACAAAAAGTAAGGAAGCAAACGTAAAAAAAAAGGCAGCAAATAGCCCAGCAATAAGTTCAGTTCAGAAAGAAAAAAGCGAAAGCGAAAGCACCAAAACTGAATAACGCAAAAGCAGAAACGTAAGCGAAAAATCAAGCTGCCCTGCCGTGTGTACATATGTGTGTGTAATTCAATTCCGTGTGCATTTCCTCAACAGCGCCACCGTCACAACATAGCACCAACAACAACAACAAAAACAACAGAAGGTAGAAGCTAGAGGACGCACAACAAGAAGAAGAAGAAAAAAACGGACAGCGAGCAAAAAAGGAGCCACAGTGGAAGCCCCCAAAACAATCGAAAGAGAATCAAACACAACAACAACAACAAAAACAGCCGCCACAATGAGCAAACCATTTGAACTTCCGCTGACCATTGAACCAGAGCATGAGTTGCGATTTGTGGGTAAGTTATTTAAATACAAAAAATATTTCATTATTTATTATTATTGTTTTAATTGCACCGAACCGCTGCCTGCATATCGACCAGACCTCGACCAATTTTCTTATTTTTTTTTGCAAATTCGCGGAAAAGGCCGAACAAACTGCAAAGTTCGGTGCGGCGGGACGGGGACGCACACACATGTCTCTGCCTGCACCCCACTAGCGCTCTCCCTTTCGCTCTAGCTCGCCCCACCACACTCTATGGTCTTCTCGCTCACTTTCTTTTGCTCTGCTTATCAATAATTTCCGTTGTTTTTGTTGCTATCTGTATTTTATTTTATTTTTTTTTTTTTTCGGCACTTTCGGAATCCAAAAAAGTGTGTTTAGTGGTTTTTCTTTTATTTTTTGATGATTTTTTTTAGTCAGTTTTCATCTCTTCATTCGGATGCCGGCAGCTGGCGTCTCTTCTGTCTCACTCTTCTGGCCCAGCCGAGCAGCGGAGCAGCGCTTCTGGCTAGCATTTTATTTTTGTACGCAGAAACTTGTCATGGGCCATTTTTATTTCTTCTTGTTTGCTGGTTCTTGTTGTTTCCTTGTGTCTTTTACTTTTTGAATTTTGGCCAAAAAGCAACAGCAGAACAACAATGCAATATATGACAGCAAAAAGAGCTAGCTAGCACAGTGGGCGTGGAGTTGCATATTACCAGTAAAAAAAAGGCGGGGAAATGTTAATATTGTCAATATTTCAATATCAGTTTAGTAAGAATAACGGTATACCTTCCCTTAAGCTTTCTGGTTAAAAAAAGAGAGAGAGAGAAAGAGACAGAGACAGATCGTGTAAACAAATTTCGAAGAACCTGTGAGAGGTTTTCTGTTTCATATTCTGCAGAAAATCAAGTCTGAACACGATCTAACATGATCTTATGGCAATAATACATACAAATAAATGTAATTAAAGCTATGTTTTGTTAAAAGAAACCTGAATTCTAGCGAAAATTGAAAGAAAAGCTAAACAACGATTCAAAACATGAATCAACATGAATAGTGCAAGCTTGTCCAGCTTTGAGGTTATGATTTATGAAGCTAATTATTTGCATTCCTAAGAAATGCACATTTTCAATTAATATTTACGGTTTTCTGGCTTTTGGAAAATAAACAAAACATTCCACAGTGCACGAATATTTTCATATTTGTGTGTGCATGTGTGTGTGTGTGTGTGTGTGAGCCTTAGCCCCATTCGGTGGCATCAGCACCACCACCACCCCCACCCAACGCCCGCCGCCACTTTGATCGTTGAGCCCCATTGTGCGCGCTCTTGTGAGGAGGGGGCGGGCATGCAAAGGGGGAGGGGGGAGGGGGGCGGTTGGGCGAAACACATGCATGACGCGAATTTGTCTAATGAAATTTCCTTCAGGCCCAGCCAGACCCACAAACACACACACACACACACTCGCCACAAAGTCAAAAATTCAGGAATTCGTGTTACGAGTTTTGCTCTTTTTTTCTCAGTGTTTTTTTTTTTTTTGGGGATTTTATCAGGTGGCCTCGATCGATTCCAAATTGGAACTCGAAGAAGATATGAATGCTCAAGGAGGGTGGTTACCCTGTAATTTTTGTAATTTAAGAAATTTTTAATATTTGGAATTTAAATTCTTTTAAAATTAATTTCCTAGAAAATAAAAAAAATAACTTTTTTTTTCAAAAGGTATTCCAAGTTCGACTCCTTGAGAGTTGGCACCAGTTTTTTAGTTCTAGTTCTTGGCTTTTAATTCAATTAATTTGAACTTTCTTTTGGGCCCATGACGCAATAAGCGTGACGTGACACAAAAATCGAAGGGACCCGCAGGATAGGTGGGTGGTGGGATGTGGGTGGGATGGGTATTTACGTTTTAACGTCAATAGTGTGTGACTAATCGAATGTTTTTGTTGTTTATTTAAAGGTCCTTTCAACCGACCCGTCGTCACAATCATGAGCCTGCGCAACAACTCGGCTCTGCCCCTGGTCTTCAAGATCAAGACAACCGCCCCGAAACGCTACTGTGTACGTCCAAACATTGGCAAGATTTTGCCCTATCGATCGACCCAGGTGGAGAGTAAGTAATCCCCTAATATACACCCTCTAAATATATAATTAAAATGATTATTGTTTTTTAGTTTGCCTGCAGCCCTTCATTTATGATCAGCAGGAGAAGAACAAGCACAAGTTCATGGTGCAGAGCGTCCAGGCGCCATTGGATGCCGATTTGACCGACTTGAATAAATTGGTAAGGAGCGAGAGTGAATGAATCTTGGAGGGATTATCTATAATCACCTGGTGTTTGTTGTTGTTACAGTGGAAGGAACTGGAGCCCGACCAGCTAATGGACGCCAAGCTAAAGTGCGTGTTCGAGCTGCCCAATGTGGATACGAATGCGGAGAACAATAGCGGCGGGGCCATCAACAGTGGCAGCGGCAGCGGCAGTGGAGCCGGTAGTGTGGGTGCCAACATCAGTTCGACCAGTGCTGATGGACTCAAGTCTGAGCCCAAGCTGTCCAGCGATGATATGGTAAAAGGCATTTGGATGGCAGGATGGAAAATCTTCATCTTCTAAAAATCTCTATCTCTCTCTCTATTATAGCCATCGAATTTGCCCGAAACCGCTGAGATTGTTGAGTCATTGTCCGGTGAGGTCAAGGCGCTGCGTGAATCCAACAGCGAACTGCGAAAAGAAAATCTACACTTGAAAGTATGTATTCAAGTTTCTTCTTGTTGAATTATATAATTAAATAATTAATTTACAGGATCAAATCACACGCTATCGCAGCTCAGCGGCCATTAAGCAGGTGAACGAGCCGTATGCCCCAGTCCTGGCTGAGAAACAGATTCCGGTCTTTTACATTGCAATTGCCATTGCTGCGGCCATTTTGGGTCTTTTACTGGGCAAATACCTGCTCTGAATGCCATAAACATTAAACACTATAAACAGCGACAACTAAAAGAAGAAGAAAAAAATATAACAAATTAAAAGCATATATATATAACAGAAGATAAATATAAAAAAAAAATGTAAACATGCATAAACATGTAGCAGAAGGATCGGCAGCGATAACATTCACGGCAGCGGCGATAACAACGAACGAACGCAACAGCAACAGCAACAGCAGAAGAAGAAGAAGAAGCAGAAGCAGCATCAAGGTCATCATTTAACAGAGACGAAGTAGACACATAAAGGAAGCTGCAAGGACAGCGGAGGAAGGAAGAAAAGACATCCAAAACAAGCATATTCACGAAAGAAAGGCAAAATCTTCAGAATCGGCATCGATTTCTCTTCCTATTATTATTTTTTTACTTTTATTTTTTTATTCACTTAACGAAATGGGAATTTCATGCTTTTTGTTCGTTTTTTTTTTATATATATTTTTTAATTGCATTTCAAATATTAATTAACGTAAGAAAGGAAAAAAAAGAAACCGACAAAGTTAAACAATTTCATGTATTTCGTAGACCACCAAAAAAAAAACCAGAATATAAGAAGAAAGTGTTAAAGGATGAAATAAAAGTTAGTTTTTTTTTTTAATATTTGTTTAAAGTTTATTCCACATATGCTTAGGAATGTAAAAAAATGCAAAAAAAAAAATGCATGAAATACAAAAAAGAAAAACTTGCATAGAACTTCAATCAAAGACAAGCTTATAAAAAATTACAAAAAAACTAAAAACAATGCTCTGCAAGGCCGATATATTAAAAAAAAACAAAAAACTAAAAAAGAAGAATCGCTGCTTCATCCTCGTCCTATATCTCTCTCGCTCTCTGCCTGTCTGTCTCTCTCTCACTCGTATTGAGTAAGGTCATTTATTGTTTTTGGTTGGCATTTTGCATTTAATAAGTTTCTCGTTAATAGTCGTTCTTTTTCCCCAATACACACAATACACACAGAAACCCACACACTCGCAATGATTGCTATATATATATATATACACATATATGATATAATATTTATATATATTGTATGAACTTGATGAATTTATGTAAGCAAACATTAAAATATGTAACTTGTGTTGTTTGCCATGACAGAATTGAAAGGAATTCCTAAAGCGAAATTGAACACTAATTTTTTTCACTGCATAGGATAGATATTTGTCAAAAAAAACAAAAACAAAAGAAAAAGAAAAGAAAAGTCCGAAGCAAAATCAATCAACTTTTTATAAACAAAAGAGATACACAAACAACACACATTGTTAACGGTTTAGCATCCATTTTAGAAACTATTTAAGTCCACTCTCCCCACACCCCGCCCGCCCGCCGGCCCCACTTGACACCTTCCAGGATCCAGAACCCAGAGTACCCCACCCTGCCCCCGCTTGAGACTTGTATAAACTGGAAAGACATAACTGGAATTTCTTAAGATACTGGAACTACATCTCCCCAGCTCCCAGCCCCCTGCCCCGCTCCCACCTTTACTTGCGATTGTTTGTGGTTATGACTTTTTTTTTTGATTAATTTTGGATAGTTTGCAAAGCATTGAAAAGGGTATATACATAGATTTATATATATTTATGAATATATATACATACACACACACACACACACACCGACATGCATAAACGCTGTATTTTCATAGGCATGTGGAAACTCGTATTTAAATGTTTAACTAGAAATACAACAAAAACAAGAAAAAGAGTAAAAGAAATGGAAGAAAGCCTAAAACATAAAAGGAGAAATCAATAAAATGAAAAGTGAAAAAAAAACAAAACAAAAGCAAAATCATAAGCAAAATGTACTTGATGTCAGCTGTAGCGAAAAAAACAAAAAAAAAAATTATAATAAAAATGAATAAAAAGAATATTTAAAAAAAACCCAAAATATATATTATATATGAAACATTATAATAATAATAAAATGTGGAAACGGAATTTTCAACATTCGATAATTGTTTCGGGACATTTAATAACATTCAATTGCATTATTTAATTGAAAAAAAAAAGAAACAAAAAACAAAAACAATTACACATATACAGATTGTCTTTGCAAAAAAACTAACGGTAAAGATGATAAATATGGCGGGAGTAGAGATGGCATGGATGAACACCCTAACCAACACTACCCAACACTTCACAACACTACACTACACGAAAAAAACAAAAAAGAGAAAAAAACCAATTATAAAATTTACAGCATGAATCTTAAAAACTAAGTGTTTTTTTCTTAAAGGAAAAATAAAATGAAACATTGTTAATTAAACATCAAATATCATTTGAAATAAATTTAAATAAAATTAATACGAAAAAGGCTTCAAAAGTAGGGGTGTAATTGGTTTTCAATTAAAAATAAATATTTTAATTTCTCAATATATATTTGGGATAATTTTTTGGGATTTTCAATATTTTATAATTAACAGATCCTAATTTTTTCTGCCTAGTTTTTAGTAGGTTTTTATTTTTTATCCTCATAAAAACCCCACACCCTTTAAATTAAAATTTAAACAAGATATATTTTTTTTTTTTCATTATAATTCTTAAGTTTTCTTTAGTTAAGTTTTCTGGTATTCATTATTTTTTAACTTTTTCGTTTCATTTAGTTTTAGTTTTCGATTTTTTATACAATTTTTTACATATCTACAACATAAAACGTACGGGGAGGTTGCCTATTGCAAAATCGGATATCCGATATATATATATATCAGATATTATATATGTTTTTTGTTAATTTTGGTAAAGGATATGGGAGATGGGATTACTGGATCTGGTTGGATGGGGTATTTCGATAGAGCTTTTCAGGTTAGCCAAGGTACATAATATCGTATAAAGAACTCGTAATGCTATCTCGCCAGGCCGGGATTTTTAATAGAAAAAGTAGTAAGTAGTATTCCAAAGATCGCCGCTAGCCGCTGGAGGAGAAGGATGCAGAGGCAGGAGCAGGAGCAGGGGCAGGTCCAGGAGCAGGAGCAGTAGTAGGAGCAGGTCCCAAGCCATGACCATCACCAGGAGCCGTTGGTTCCTCTTCGCTCTTATTGTTGCCCAGAATCCAGTCCATGAGCATCATCGAGGGAGAACGCAGCGCGGGCTGAGCTGATTATGGAGGACACACACACACACAACTAGATTATGACTTGGACTCTCTTGGCCATTACGGCAGCCTCCACTCACAAAGATCCAGAGCCGGAGCGGAAGAGGAAGCCGGAGCTGGAGCAGCTCCACTGCTGGAGGAGGCGGCTCCCTTTGCCATGTCCCTTTGCAGCTGAAGCATCTGCTGGAGGCGCTGTTCTCGCTCATCCACAATGGCCTTGTCCTTGGAATGCTTCACCGTCTGCAGCTCCGCTAGCCTGGAAAGGGAGGAGGACATTAGTGGGTTGGAGACCATACTCTACTGGTGTATCCTTTCTCACTTCTGCTTCAGGTCACTGCCCGTGGAGTTCGGGGTGACTCCGCCGAGGATCTCGCTGCTGCTTCCGGCACTGCTGGTCTTGCTGGGACTACTCCCCGAGGCGGCGGATGAGGATGTGGTGGCACTGGCCGCTGCAAAGGATAAACAGAAACATGAATCTCTAAGCTCCAAAGGACAAGGTCCTCCACCCACGTTCATCGCTGGTGCGACTCCTTTCCGTTTCCAGTTGCCTCAGCGTGTCCGATAGCTTCAGCTGCAGGTGATCCCGCTCCTCCAGCAACTGCACCAGCTCCAGGATCATCTCCTCCACGCGCATGTCCCGCTGATGGAGCATCATCAGAGCGTAGTCCAGGTCCGCCTTGAGCACGTACTCCGGCAGAGCTTCGTTGCCGGCGAGGGATGGCGGTCCTCCGGCAGTGGCAGGTCCGCCACTCGCTCCTCCCCGATTCTGCAGCCGGAAGGGATCGTATTGGGCGGCCAGACGAGCGTACTCCGCTGACCGGATGGCCAGCTGCTCCTTCAGGGTAACTATTTCCATTTCCTGCGTCTCCAGAGCCTTCTGCATTTTGGCCATCAGTTCACTGGAAGGTTCCGTGGCTGCTGCAGCTGGAACTGCGCTGGAGAGGATCTCCTTCTCGTGCTGCTGGCTAATCTCCGCCAGCTGGGCCTGGAAGGCGGCCTCCCGCTGGTTCAGATGCTCCTGCCAGATACTGGCCACCTCGCTGCACTTTTGCTCCACCACCTGCTCCCACTGCTGATTGATGGCGGCCAGATCCGCGGGCGCTGGCTGAGATGGCTGGGATTGCTGGGACTGGAGCACCTCCAGGGAGCGCCTCAGCTCGGTGATCTCAATGTCCTTGGTGTCCAGCTGGAGGAGGGTCTGCTTCATCTTGTCCTCCAGTTCCAGGCTGCCCAGAACATGATTGTTGAGAACGCGCAACTCCTCCTCCATGTCGGCCTTCTCGCGAAGCAGTTGCTCCAGCTCGGCCAGAGCTTCGGAAGGCACAGGAGCAGGAGCAGCAGGCTCAGGAACCACCGCCGCCGAGGCAAGATCTTCTCGCTCCTCTTCCAGCTGCTTGACTTGCAGGCGGAGGAGCTGCAGCTCCTGGTTCTTGGTCAGGATCTCGAAGACCAGCTTCTCCGTTTGGTCCTCCCGCATGAGCTCCTCGATGCGCTGCTTCAAGTGCAGGATCTCCGACTCCTTCTCCTGCAGCACGACAGACTGATCTTCGCTGGGATCCCTGGCGAAGCTCTCCCCAATACTGGCACGCTGACGCAGTGCATCCAGCTCGGAATTCAGTTCGAAGAGGGCATGTTCCTGTTGCAGTTTCAGGGATCTCAGGTCTTCCAGTTCGGGTTGAAGCCCCCGCAGGGCAATGACTTCCGTTTGGAGTTCCCTCAGCTGCTCCACCTCTCGCTGAAGGTGACTTAACTGCTCCTGTTCGATCCGCAGCTCCTGCTGCTGCTGTTGCCCCTGGAGCTGCTCCTGTTCCAGCTTGGCGGACCTGAGGTGCTCCACTTCCGCCTGCAGACCCTTGAAGTACTCCTCCCGTTGGGCGTCTTGAATCCTGTGGCCCTCCAGGGCCTGATCCTGTTGTGCCTTCAGGGATCTGAGCTGATCCACCTCTGCCTGGAGGCTCCTCAGTTGGGTGACCTCCGTCAGCAGCTGCTCCTTCTCGACTTGCAGCTTTTGCAGGAGCTCCGAGTCCTGGGGACTGGCCTGGACTTGCCGCAGCTCCTCTACCTCCTGCAGCCTCACCCGCAGCTCCTCCTGCAGCTGCTCCTTCTCGGACTGAGCCCGGGCAGCGGTATCCTCCGCCATTTGGACCAGACGACGCTCCTCCTTGAGCTTCTCCTGCAGTTCCTGGCACTCGGTGTTGAGGTCCTGGTTCTCCGTCTGGAGGCTCTCCAGTCTCGCGGCCGCATTCTCGCTGAGAGGCGACACAGCAGCCGCCACGGCCACGGCGGGCGGAGCACTTGCTGGCACATCCCACTGGTCCAATTGATTGAGCTTCTCCTGGAGCTCCCGGATGCGTGCCTGGTACATCTGCACGTCCATGTCCTGGCGCTCCTTCAGCTCCGCCATGCGCTCGTTGCCGGCAGTCAGGACATCGATCCTCTTCGTCAGCTTCTCCTTTTCGAGGAGATGCTGCTGCAGCTGCTCCTCGGCCTTGGCCTGCCGGGACTCCTGGAGCTGCAGTTGATTCTTCAGCTCATCTATGATGGCCGAGTCCAGGTCGTTGTCCACCGAGACGGATGGCGCCGCCACAGTGGTCGCTTTGGTCTTGTATTCCTTCAGACGCTTCATGAGCTTCGCCGCCTTGGTCTGCAGCTCGGTCTTCTGCTGCTCCGCGGTGGCCAGTTGCTGCTCCAGTTGGGCGATCCTGTTCCGCAGCGGCTCCACATCCGTCTGGGGCTCCTCGGTGGCGGCATTCGCCCACGGATCGTCGTCCACCCCGAAGTCTATCACCTGCGTCGCCTCCTGTTCCGGCTGGCAGACGTAGGCCTTTCTCGGGACGATGAGGGGCTCCACCACGGCCTCCGTTTGGGGCAAGCCGAAGTCCAGTTGGTGGCTGACGATGTCGGGCACGTGCTCCCCGCCAAAGAACATGTCCAGGGTGGGTGCCGCCGCTGCAGCTGGCTGTATCAGCTTCTCCAGTTGCGCCAGGCGCTCTTGCTCCTCCTTCTCCCTCCTGATCTCCGCCAGCTGCTGCTCCCGCTCCTGGAGGGCACGCTCCAGCTCGGCCAGACGCTGCTCCGTCTGCTTGCGGTGCTCCTCCAGCTCGGCCAGACTCTGGTTGCGGGCCAGAAGCTTGTTCTCCAGGTCCTGGGCGTGCTTCTCCAAATCCGAGACGTTCCTCTGAAGATCTTCGATGGTGGGCGGCGGATGGAGGTCGGCCGGAGGCAGGGGCGCCGCCTGGCTGCCGATTCTCAGGGGCTGGGGCACGATCTCGTCGAAGGGCGAGGGGTCTCCGCCAAAGAAGAGCGAGGCTGGCGGAGGATTTCCAAGCGTAGGAACTGAAATGGGAGCGGGGATCGGAGCAGGGATGGAACCAGTAATGGGGGCCTGCTGTTGTCGGGCCAGCTGGGCTTGCAGCTCGCTCAGTTGCTCCGCCAGGCGCTTGTTCTCCGTCTCGAAGTACACCTGGTCGTCCGTCTGGTTCTGGCCCAGGGTGTCCATCTCGGCGATCTGCTGCTGGAGGGCCTGCAGCTCCTGGCTGTGGTTCGCGCACAGGGCGTCGATCTGGGTGCGCAGGTTGTCCATTTCCGTCTTGTCCTGGATGGCCTGCATGCGCAGCTCCTGCAGCTCCAGGACATCCTGCTCGGCACCGTCCTGCTGGAGCCTCAGCAGCGTCACCTCCCGGCTGAGGGTGGACCTCTCGCGTTCCACCTCCTGGAACTCGTCGCTCAGCCGCTGCAGCTCCTCGCCGCGCTGGCCGAGCTGCTCCTGGGCGCGCTCCAGCTGCTGGAGCAGGTCCCGCGACTCCTGCGTGGCCCGTTCCACGTGATTGTTCAGATCGCACTCCAGTTCGTCCAGTTCGGTCACCTTGGCGGCCAGCTTGGCGTCGTACACCTGCCGCTGACGCTGCAGATCCGCCTCCTTGGCCTGCAGCTGCTGGTGGAGATCGGCCAGCTCCTCCTGGCTGTGGCTGCTCAGCTGCTCCCTCTCCGCCTGGGCCGCGGCCGTCACCTGGTCGTGCTTCGCCGCCAGGGAGTCGTACTCGGCGCGCAGGCGACGCAGCTGCTCCCTCAAGTCCTCCGTCTCCGTTCCGGACATTTGGAGCTGCAGGACATATGCCTGCTCCTTGTCGCTGAGCTCCCGCAGGCGCTCCTGCAGCTGCAGATCCTGTTCCTGCAGCTGCTCGTCCTGCTCCCGCTGCTGCTGCAGCTCCTGCTCCAGGATCTGGCGACGATCCTCCTCCGCGGCCTGCTGATTGGCCTGTCGGGCCGCCTGATCCTCTAGAGCGGCGCTCCTCGCCTGCAGCTCCGCGACCTGCGACTCCAACGACTCGATGTAGGAGGCGTCCTCCTGCAGCTTCGCCTGGATGCCCTCGTGGAGGGTCTCCTGCCGAGCATTGTTCACCTCAAAGTCGGCCTTCTCGCGGGCGTATTGGGAGGCCAGCAGGGCGTACTGCTCCTGGGCGGCCTGGAGCTGGGTGCGCAGGTGCTCCTGCTCCTCCTTGGCAGCTTCCAGCTGTTCCTGTGGACGGAGGAGAGTCAGTTCGGCCAGAAAGGAGATGGAAAAGGGGGCTAACTTACCAGAGACACCTCAGGGTTTGGAGCAGCATCTAGGGGCTGGACAGTGGTCTTCGTGAAGGCACCATCCCCGATGCCAGCCTCACTGATCCTCTGGCTGTCCTCCAACTGCAGGATCTGCTGACGAAGAGCGGCAATCTGGCGGGGATTAAGAAGAGAGATTCAATAACAGACTCCAAGGAGTAACTAAAAAGGGACCCCACCTCACTATCCTTCTCCTGGCGGAGCTGCTCCAACTGGCCGGCCTGCTCGTCCTGGCCAGGAGGATTCTGGCGGAGCTGCTGCAGCTCCTTCTGGAGAGCCTGAATGGTGGCGTTGCGGTGCTTGATCAGCTCCTTGGACTTGTCGAACTTGGTGGACTTGGACTCCAGTTGGCGTCGCAAGTCCTCCAGAGCGGGCTGTTGCTCCGCCAGCTGCTCGAGGTCCTTCTTCCGTTGCTCCAGCTCCTTGTGCAGCCGCGAGAGCTCCTGCTTCAGCTTGGCGGTCTCTTCCTTGCGCTGGCTGCTCTCCTGGCCCATTTGGAAGATCTCCTCGTCGGCCTCCTGGCGTTCGCGGCGCAGCTCCTTGTTGACCAGCTCCTGCTCCTGCAGCTGCTGCTTCAGCTGGCGCAGGGCATCGCGATTCTCGAGGTTCAGGTGGATCTTGGCCTTGAGCTCTTCGTTCAGCTTGGCCACCTGCTGCTGCAGTTGCTCCACCTGCTCCTGATTGTCCTCCTGGGGCTTCTGCACCTCAGCCTCTTGCTGCTTCTCCTCCAGCTGCTTGCGCAGATCCTGCAGCTGCTGCTCCAGGTCGGCGTTCTCCTGGCCGCGCTTCTTCAGGTTGAGGGCGTACTTCTTGAGCTTCTCCTTGAGGTCCCGCGACTTCTGCTGCTCCTCCTGGCGGGTCTGCTCCACGCCCTGGTACAGCTCCTGCACCTGCTGGTTGAGGGCGTCGATGGTGTCCTGGCGGGAGGCCAGTTCGCTGATCTGCTGGGCCGCCAGGTTCTTGCTTATCCTCAGCGCCTCGCGCAGCTGTTCGGGATCCTCGTCGCCGGTCTTGCCGCGCAGCTCCTGGATCTCCTCCCGGGCCGACTGCAGCTCCAGCATCTTGAGATTGAGGGCGTGCTCGCTCTCGCTGAGGTTCTCGATGAGCTGCTGCTTCTGCTCGGCCACCAGAGCCTGCAGGATACTGAGCTCGCCCTCCAGCGACTCGCTGCGCGCCTCCAGCTCCCGCCGGATCCGCGTCTGCTGCTCCAGCTGCTTCTCGTGGCTCATCTCCTTGGAGTCCAGCAGCTGATCGAACTGCTCCACCCGCAGCTGCAGCTGGGTGATCTCGGCGCTCTGCTTGGCCACCAGCTGGAGGTGATCCGCCTCCGTTTGCCGCAGCTCCCGGATGATCTCCAGCTGCTCGTCGATCTGCTGCCGGAGTTCCGTCTGCAAGTTCCTCGAATCCTCGAGCAGAGACTGCAGTTGCAGCAGCTCCTCCTCGTCCTTCTGGGCCGCTCCGATGGCCAGCTGAGGCTCGACCTCCGGGTACGATTCCCTCAGCTCCTCGATCTCGAGACGCAGCCGCGATATCTCCGCCTTGAGCTCCGCATTCTGGGCTGTCAGTTGCTCGTACTCGGCCAGAGCCTTGCCGTTGGGAGCCGTCACCGCCACCACCGTCTCCACCACGGTGACCGTTTCCACCGCCGAGCTGGCCTCCTTCACCTTCGCCAGCAGCTCGCTCAGCTGGGCGTGGCAGTGCTTCGCCTCGCGGGCCAGCTTCTTGGCGACGTTGAACTTGGCCTGCCGGTCGTTGGCCTTCCGGTAGGCCTCCAGCTCCGAGTTCAGCTTGTTGAGGGACTTCTCGCACTTCTCGAAGAGCACAGGTCCGCCGTCGCCGGCGTCCAGGGCGGCCACCACCTCCGTGGAGCGCTGCATGGACGTGAGCTCCTGGGAGAGATTGGACGTCGTGGAGGCTGTGGACGTGGACGAATGCAGTTCCTTCTCCCGTTCCCGGTTCAGCTCCTCCAGCCGGGCCTGCAGCTGGTTGTTCTCCGCCGTTAGCTGCTCCAGCTTGTCCAGCACTTCGCCGCGCTCCTGGGTGAACAGTTCCAGGCGCTCCCTCAGCTGGGCCACCGACTCGCCCGACTCGCCGTCCTCCGCCTGATCCGTTTGGGTCAGTTCGCTAACGTGCCGGGGCACGGGCGGATCCTCCAGCTGCTGACGCTCCACAATCTCAATGGATTCCGCAGAGCTCGATGAGCTGAGCTTCTCCAGCTTGTCCAGCAGCTCCATGTTCTCGCTGATGTAGTGGGATAGCTTCTTGTCGAGCGTCTCCTTCTCCGATTGCAGGGTGTCCAGTTGCTGGCGCTGCTCCTGGGCCTCCTGCTCGAGTTGCTGCACCCGCTGGGTCAGCTGCTCCTCCAGCTGGGCTTCGCTCAGCTCAGACTCCACGCGCGCCGATTCATGACCCTGCTGCAGTGCCTCCAGGGCCTGTTGCAGCTCCAGTTTCTGCTCCTCCAGCAGTCGAATGGCCTCCAGCTGCAGGGGATTGGCCTCCGGTGGCGATGCCTGGTCCGTATCCTCGTCCTCCTGCATTTTGGATAGTTGCCACTGGCCCTTCTCGTCCTCCAGGACCGTGATCCGTTGCTGCAGCTCCTCGTTCTCCGCCTGGAGCGTGGCCAGCTGCTGCTGACCGTCCTGGGTCTGTAGCTTCTGCAGCTGCTTCTCGGCCTGCTTGCACTTGAGCTTCAGCTTGATGTTGGCCTTGTTGGACTCGTCCAGCTTCTGCTTCAGCTGCTGCAGTTCCTCCTGCAGCTCCTTGCTGGCCCCCGAATCCTCTAGGGCGTCGTCCAGGAACAGTGGCTTGTTGCGGCTGCTCTGCGCCAGCTTCTCCTCCAGGACGCGCAGATTCACATTCAGGACATTCAGTTCCGTGGTCTTCTCAGCCAGTTCCTCGCTCTGAGCCGCCATGGCGGCTGTCTGCTCCTCCAGCTTCGCCTCCAGCTCGGCCAGGCGCTCCGAGACACTGGCATCGCTCACCGGGAGCTCAGACTTGCTCTGGCGGAGCTTCTCGTTCGCCTCCTGCAGCTCCGCCAGCTGGTTGGTCAGGTCGTGGAGCTGCTTGGCCAGCTCCTGGCTAACCTGGGCGTCGGTGGTGGCTGCCGTGGACTCACTGAGGGTTAGTTTCTGCTCCTGTTCCTCCAGCCGCTCCCGTTCTCTCTCCCGTATGGTAGTCAGCTCGTCCTGCAGTTCACAGCGCGTCGTCTCCAGGATATCATTGACGTTCTCCAGCTCGGCGAGACGTTCCCGGAGGGTGGTTACCTCACCCTGGAGACGGGTGATCTCCTGCTCCTGCAGACTATCCTCTTCCTCCTTCTTCTCCACCTCATCCTTTTCTGTTCTTTCCTTCTCCTTTTTCTCCTTCTCCTCCTCTTGGCCCTTGGCCAGGCGCAGTTGCTCCAGTTTCTCGTTCTGCTGGGTCAGCAATCTCTGCAGTTCCGCTCCTGTAAAGGTTTCATGTTAGAAATCAAGAATATACCATTAACCCTTAAGGAATCTCACCGGAAAGCTCCAATTGCTCGATGAGATTGCCGCGCCGGGCAAGTTCCGTGCGCATTTCCTGCATCTCCTGCTCCTGCCGGCTCTGTTTGAGCTCCGTGATCTTCATGCGGTTCTTGAGCAACTTGAGCCGACCCTCGTCCGTCGCCTCCTGACCCTGAGCCTCCAAGTCCAGGGCGGAACGATGCCGCGACACTGGCGCCGGATTGGCCGCACTCGCCGATGCCTGCCGCAGATCCGTCATGGAAGAGCCTAGTTCCGTGGCAGTGGACATGGAGCTGGTCTTGACCGAGAGCAGGGATTTGGCCAGATCTCGTTTCCGCTGCTCGAGCAGGGCTCGATTCTGCTCTGTACGCTGGGTGAGCATCTGTAGCTTCTCGCTGCCGCTTGTCTGGATAAGGGAAACCTCCGCCGATCTGGGGTCCTCCTTGGTAGGAGTCACCAGGGGCGTGGAGGAGTCGAGAGCCAGGGAACCTGCTCGTGTTTTCAGAACGGTCAGCTTCTGGCCCAGATTCCTTAGCGACTCCATGGAGTCACTCATACTGGACTTGTGCCTGCCATCCTGAGATTTTCGCAGGGCGCGCTCTTTCAAGGCGGTAAGGCGTTCCTAGGGAGGATCTTTGATGTAGATCTTGTTTTTTTTACTTTTTCTAATCAAGACTTACCTGTTGCTTGTGCAGATTCTCTTTGAGGCTGTCCAGGCGACCTTTGCCCTCGTTGCCTCTCGTCGTTGTGCTGGCGGATACATTCTAGAGAGGATTATCACCAAAATAATGACAATTAATAAGGTTTCTTGATGAAAAATGGTCATCATATCTTAACCTACCATCTGACGGATTATAATTAAATTTAATTTTTAAACATTCTATTAAAAAATCAATAGTTTAAAACCGAAAAGGCAACTTGATGGCTTTAAAAACCCCTATTTCCACCCTATTGGTCTATGCTCCACTACTCCAGTAGTGGTCTCCCACTCACCTGTAACAAGGACAGATCATTGGAGCTGCCCGAGAAGCGTATATCTGTCTCGCCGTCGTATTCGTGGTCGTCGGGCTACAAATAAACAAAAATATTAGTTACTGACATCGGAGGATAACCAAGCTTATTACCTGCACTATGGAAAAGTCATAGGAGCTATCCAGTACAGCCGTTTCCGTGGCAGCCGCATCTGCATCCGCCATCGTCGATTATTTATTTATTTTGTTTTTTTTTTTTTAAATCACACTATCTATTAACCGAAATGTAAACCAAAACAAAAACGAAAAAACGGAAAACAAGAAAAACAAAAAAAAAAAGATCGGAATGGAACGGAAGGAAGGAAGGGAAAACAAAAAAATATATAGCACTATAGCTATCTAGTCGCGTTGGGAAGATATATCCGACGATTCCAAGTCCTATTCCGAATCCAGGTTCGATCGCTAGCTATCGACATTGACTGCAACGAGACCGAACATTTGTTTACCATATAGCTGGCAGGTTTATATCTCCTTCGGTATCGGTTTCGTGTCCGATTTCGATCGGAAATCTTTAACTTTTTAAGAATTCGTGGCACTGACGTGTGCACCTTGTATGTGTGTGTGTGTGTGTGTGTGTGCGAAATGTGTACGTGTCTGTTTGTTTGTGTTTGTGTGTTTGGTAGGAATTGTGTTTTTTGTTGTGTTTTGGGCTTTTTTTGTAAAACAATTCAGTTTGAATGTGATTGTAACAGCCCTGGCATCTATCTGAAGCCACCCGAAGTAGGCTTTATGTCATTTACGTCACGATTATTTACCAATTTTAATTAATGCCAGCGTAAAAACAAAAAGCAACCAGGGCTACAAGCCTGTTATCGCCGGTTGAATGGCAACTCTGAAAAGAAGAAGAACAAGCAGGGCTTCAAAATTTCCGCTGACAACACTAAATGACCTAGTTTTGTCTTTTTTAAGGAAATATTCTTGTTTTTATATACTTAAAGAGTATTTTACATTAGTATAAAATCATTAAAAATAAATTATCATTTCTTTAAATCTCATAAATAAGAAAAGCTTTTATGTTTCAGCCATCATATCCAATTAAGAGTAACCTTAGGATTAAAGTTAATTTAAGTTAAATTCCTAATTTATTAAAAGAATATTAAAAAAAAGTCCATGCCTTTTTTTAACTTGAATAATTTTTATTTTCTAAATATTCCATGTGAATGTTTCAATATGCATGTATGGCAACTCTAAACCAAACTTCAAAGGACTTCCCAACACTAGAATAGCGTATCGGTGTTTTCCAACACAGGCGCAACAAGGAAAAAACGAAGGACAGACGGTAGCGCGTGCTAATTTACACATAGATGTAGGGGCTTGGGTACAGCGAGCGCCATGAACTTCCCCCTGGCGAACGCCAACAAGGATACCCTGCGGGCCGCCTGTAAAAAATGTGGCTACGCGGGTCACCTGACCTATCAATGCCGCAATTTCCTCAAGGTAACCAAGTGCAAACAATGTAACCGGTTGTGAAAAACATTGCTTAATCCCCTTCTAATGGCAGGTGGACCCCAACAAGGAGATCCTGCTGGATGTGGAGAGTACCAGTTCGGACTCGGAGCTCGACTACCTCACGCCGCTCACTGAGCTGCGAGCCCAGGAGCTGAAAGGCGGCGCCGAAGTGCCACCTCCCGCTTCAACCACCGCCTCCGCCGCCGCAACAGCCGGCAAGGATAGGGATAAAGATAGGGAACGGGAGCGGGATAAGAAGCGAAGCGGCTCCAAACGGAGCCGCGAGGCTGCCACTGAAAAGGATAAGGACAAGTCGAAGAAATCCCTGCGGCACAAGAAGCGCAAGAAGAAGTCTAGTAAGCACAAAAAAAAGGATGCTACGAAGAAGAGTTCAAAGAAAAGTAGCAGCAAAAAATCCAAACGACGCCGCAGCTCCTCTAGTAGCTCCTCCTCCTCCTCCTCCACTGATTCGGACTCCTCCTCCACATCCGACTCGGAATCTGAATCAGAATCGGATTCCAGCGACAATGAAGAGTCGAGTACCAGCGAGTCGGACGAGTATGGGCGCAAGAAGAAGCGACAGGGAAAGTACAAGCGAAAGGCAGACACCGCTCAGATGCGCCGCAAGAAAACAAAGGTGAAGCGCAAGCGTCATCGCGCCGGCGGTTCCTCGGCCCAAACGGCCGGCAGCTACCTAAGCAGTCTCAGCGACAGCAGCACCTACTGAGAGAACTATGATACCCGGATGACTGCCAGCTCCAATTCCAATTCCATAGCGGATGAATAATAATAATCCCCGTACCCTAGACTTGTCGTAGCCCTTAAGTTAAAGCCCAATTGTGCTGCAAATACAAACAAAAAATTAGTTCATACAAGAGAGGATTTTTGTTAACGATACAACATCGTCTTGTCGTCTTTCATTTCTTTAAAATGTTTAATAATTTTATCGATTGGCCTTTAAAGATGTAACCAGAGCGTGGTTGGCCTTTAAAGCGTATTTATCTTGTATTAAATGCTAAAACCTCTCTTTGGGGCTCTCGTATTCGGCGAGATGCTCCGAGGAGATCAAGCGAAACCTTGGTTCTCCTTCAGAGCCAACTTGCTCCTCGATCGCGTCGTAGTAGCTTTCTGCTACCTCTGGCTAGCCAACTATTTAGCTATGACATCTTGGTCACGTTAGAAACCAAAGAATATAGCTTGGACCCCATGGCTTCATTCTTGTTCTGTTGCTCCACCATGAAAGCGCATGATTCCTCCGAGTTTGAGAAGAAACCTGAATCCGCAACGGATCAACTACCATCTCGTTGAGCTTCAATCTCTAGCTGTTGATCCACCACTTCCTGGACATGGCCGCGGCCAGGAGAATTCTTGTTGATTGTTGTTGCTGGGCTTGGGAATCAAACTCGTTAGAGGATGCAGAGTTCGATTTGGAGCCCGGAGGAGTATCACATTCGAAGGCTGACTTCCGTGCTAACAAGACAGCAAAGTATCCGAGGGTTTTCTTTTTGGACGATTTAAAAAAAATTTAAATCTGGCGGTAAAGAACCATCGTGAATTTTATATCGATATATCGAAATCAATAGTGATGTACAATCAAATTGTCGGCAGGTAGTTTACATTTTCGAAATAAATCACCCATTCTTCCAGTTTATCGTGCAGTTAAAAAATATACCTGGTTTTTATGACATTTAAGGACTCAAGGGCTCAGCAATAAAGCGATATCCTGTTTACAGACAAGATCGATAAGATATGTTAAGCCCCTTTTAATCGATAACCTATAAACGTAATTGGCGCAACATTTTGAATATTAAAAAAAAAAAAATTTATTTATGACCATTAGCAAGGAATTTTGAAGGTTTTTAAAAGGTTTATAAATAAACAAATTATTTTTAACAAATCGTTTCTTAAAAACTAATCTGTATACACATAAATAATAATTTTCTCACACAAACTTATACAAAATATGAGTATAAAGACTTGCTAATTCTAAATTTTATCACTTTTTTAAAACGTGAATGCTCTTAAATTATTTTTGGACTATATATTTCACCATAAATGAAATGTTAAATCATTTTTAAAGCTATAATTGATTCCAGAATTGGCGGTGACCTCTCCACTATCAATTCTGTTCAGTTTTTCTGTGGCAACTCTCGGTGGGGTGGCTTCTTATCAAGATTAGTGTCCGGGTTTCGGAATCTTATCAGTTTCAGAGAAAATCTATGGCAGAACCCTCCATATGCTCTCTGCAGATTCTTCCAGCATCACGACCGAAACCAAGGTTTTTGGAAAATGCGAATTTCACAATAATTGTGGACCCACCAACCTTGGGAAGGCCATCAAAAGAATCAAAGCACTGAGAAAAATAAGATAGAATAAAAAAAAAAAACAATTTATATTTTAAAATATTCGGTTATTTAAATAAAAAAGGAAAAACTTAAGAAAACATTGCCTTTAGCATAAAAAAATAATAATAATATGTGTCTTATAGGTACTGGATTTTTTTCCCGGGTGCCGACAACGACGCAGTTGCTCCCGATCTTGGCATCCGATAAGTGGGAGAGTGGAGCGCATCATTTAGCGCTTGTTCAAGTGCGTTCATCGTCGGATCCGATCGGATCGGATGGGATCGCCACAAGTCCAGTAGCGATAAGGGCTGGGAAAGAGAGCTATAAAGTGGCCCGGATCCGGAGATGTGTTTCAGTCCACTAAGAGACACCGTAGCCACCGGCTCATCAGCTCACTAGCTGGCCAAGTTTCTCAGTTTATTTGTTTAGCACATCATTAGCCACAAAACCGCATACACCACCTGTTTTAGGAGAGGATTAGGTGATAAGCGAAGCCGTAAACAAAGAGATCTGATTACGTAAACAAAAAATGGAGGTACCCCCACCACTTGTACTAAAGCGCCCACTCTATGTGCCCAGCAAGACCCTGATGGGGCCAGGACCCTCGAACTGCTCCCATCGCGTCCTGGAGGCGATGAGCAATCCGGTTCTGGGTCATATGCATCCCGAGTGCCTGCAGGTGGGTCACTATCTTAGTTTCCAATTAATTATTAATTAACTAACTTTAAAAATTAATTAAAATTATAAGGCTTTTTAAATATTAACCATTATAGTTTAAAAATATCTTTAATCTTAAATCTTAAAATAACTTTATATTTATGTCGCATAGTGTCTCTTTCGAGGCACCTTATCAGGGCAGCTCGAAACATTGAGATACAATTACAGCCATGGGTCAGACCAGCCGATCCTACCATATAGGACCCATATACCATATAGACACCATATAGAATCAATATATAGGATCGGTTATCGATCCTGCTGCCATGGAAAATGGGTTAATCTTGAATCTCTTCCATTTGGACAGATTATGGACGAGGTAAAGGAGGGCATCAAGTACATCTTCCAGACACTGAACGACGCCACCATGTGCATCAGTGGAGCAGGTCATGCCGGCATGGAGGCGGCCCTCTGCAATCTCATCGAGGACGGGGACGCTGTCCTCATGGGCATCACTGGAGTCTGGGGCCATCGGGCCGGGGACATGGCCCGTCGCTATGGCGCCGAGGTGCACTACGTGGAGGCCAGCTTTGGACGGGCGCTCAGCCTGGAGGAGATCGAATTCGCCTTTGAGGCCCACCGGCCGAAGGTGTTCTTCATCGCCCAGGGTGACTCCTCGACGGGAATCATTCAGCAGAACATTCCAGAGATCGGAGAGCTGTGCCGGAAGTACGACTGCTTCCTGGTGGTCGACACGGTGGCTTCGCTGGGCGGCACCGAGTTCCTGATGGACGAATGGAAGGTGGACGTGGCGTATACCGGCTCCCAGAAGTCGCTCGGCGGCCCGGCTGGCCTCACGCCGATCTCCTTCAGCAAGCGTGCCCTCACCCGGATCCGGAAGCGCAAGACCAAGTCCAAGGTGTACTACTTTGACATTCTGCTGATCGGCCAGTACTGGGGATGCTACGGCACGCCAAGAATCTACCATCACACCATCTCCTCCACCCTGCTGTACGGTCTCCGCGAGGCACTGGCCCACTTCTGTGCCGTCGGCCTCAAGGCGGTGGTGAAGCGCCACCAGGAGTGCTCCCGCCGGCTGCAGCTCGGGATCGAGGAGCTGGGCCTGGAGATGTTCGTCCAGCGGGAGGACGAGCGCCTACCCACAGTGAACACCATTAAGGTGCCATTCGGTGTCGACTGGAAAAAGGTGGCCGAGTATGCCATGAGAAAGTGAGTTTAGTCATTAACTAACTCTTTAATCAATTAACTAACTAATTAATGGTCCACTAACAGGTACAGCGTAGAGATTAGCGGGGGATTGGGCCCCACTGTGGAGCACGTCTTTCGGATCGGCTTGATGGGCGAGAACGCCACCTTGGAGCGCGTGGACATGGTGATCAGCATCCTGAACGAGGCCATCCAGAGCATCAAGCAGAGGGCGGTGAAGACGGAACGGTCCAAGATCTAACCAGACCTAGTTGTAGTCTCTTTTTTAAAATTTTCAATAAAAAATATTCCAAAAATGTTATCTAATCGAGAGTGCTATCTGGACATGGGAGGGGGGATCTGAAAAGAAGATTCCATCCATAGCCATCGTCCTAGTCGGTCCATCATTCGAAAACAACATCGTCCTCCAGAGAGGAATGTATACTTATATATATTATAGATTTATTGAACGCCGATCCAGATTCAGGATTCAGTCCAAGCACTCACAGACACGGAGAAAAAAAAAAACAAAAAAAAATTGTACACTTAAATGTTTATTTGTTATTAACTCAATGGAGGACGGTGGCCCAGTGCTTGAGAAGCATTGGGGCCCATCCGCCATCCAAATCATATCATCCATGTGTACTAAAAAGTGACGACCTTAGCTTTAGCTTGTAAGCTTAACCCTGCTTCTGGGCCAGCTCGCGGGCCTTGGCGCGCTCCAGCTTGGAGATGCGGGCCAGGGACTTGGAGCCAAGGATGCCACCGCCCCAGTGACGACGGATCTCCTCGTGGCGCTCATTGAAGTTGGTCTTGACGGCCTCCAGGACCTTGCCGAAGTTGGCCTTGTCGTTGTTGTCGACGGTGGTGAGGGCCAGGGTGGTGCAGGTCTTGCGGCGGACGAGACGACCCAGACGGGCCTTGCCCTTCACAATGCAGTAGGGCACGCCCATCTTGCGGCAGAGGGCGGGCAGGAAGAGCACCAGCTACAACATAAAATTATAGATTAGTTTTCATTCCAATACACAGCATCACAAAGTCAAGATGGAGCTTTAGATCCATCTTCTATCAGCTGTCAAATTTCCACATGGCGGTGTTCTGGACAAACCGGAAGTTTGCCCGGAAAACCGTTCAGTTGAAGAAATTCATGTTAACATCACAAAAGAGCACTGCCTTGACCCTAAATGGCCACCGGAATGGCCAGGGAATAAGAACTCACCTCAAGGGGATCAACATCGTGGGCGATGACGACCAGCTGGGCCTTCTTCTGCTCGATGAGCTTGGTGACGGTGTTGGTGCCGGCCGAGACGTAGCTGGGCTTCTTCTTGGGCTCAACATCCTTGCCCTTGGCCTTGGCCTCAGCGATCTTCTTCAAGCGCTGCTTCTTGGCCAGGGGAGACTCGGGACGGTACTTCTCGAGCAGCTTGAACAGCTTCACGGCGGTGGTCTTGTCCAGGGTCTGGCTGAACTGGTGGATTGGTGGCGGCACCTTCAGACGCTTCTGGAGCACGGCCTTCTGGCGCTGGACGCGGATGTACTTCGGCCAGCGAACGAAACGGGACAGATCGCGCTTGGGCTGCACATTCTGGCCTACATGCGTAAAGAGATATATCAATTATAATCTCCATTGTCATGTTACGAATTTTGTTAGGACTTACCGATTCCGAAGTTCTTGGGACGCTTCTCGAAGAGCTGGTTGACAACCTTCTTAACCACTGGTTTCTTCACAGCCAGCGGAGCTGGGGCAACCTTCTTGGTCACTGGCTTCTTCTTTGGCCTGGGCTGTTGATGGAAAACAATAGATATTTCGATTACTTCACGGTCCAACAACAACAAACCAAACAAAACACAAACATCCTCGAATTACAGCGAGTTTTCACAAAAAATGTTCACTTTATTCAGTTTGGGGCCACTGCCTACCTTCTTAACAACCATTGTTGCGCAGTTTTAGTTAAAGATGCTACCGAAAAAAGCAGATTCGAGCGGGTCGCTAAAAAGACCAGCCTTTGCGTCTGCCTGTCAAAAGGTAAAGGAATGGATGTCAGCGGCGGAAGTTGGCTGCTCGAATTTGACAGCAGCAGGGTTGCTTTGGACTACGCTACGCAGGGCTGCATTCAGGGCTGCATTTTTACGATAGGTGGCAACCTATCGGTATTCTCAATATGTTCTAAACTAAATTTAAATAATGAGTTTTAGCATTAGGGAATTTATAATTATTTTATAAGTTAATTGCTCAACAAAAAGCTGTATTTTGCGTAGAAAATATTTAAATGCCATTTCATCGAGTTTTAGAGCACTAATTCTGCAGTGCTGTACAACACCTTCCATGGATATCGTTTTTCAACACTGCTTGCTTGGAAATAGAAAAAAAAAATTAATTTAAGCGTGTCTGCGCTGCGCTTGCGCTAAATGCTAAATTAACCGTAACTGCGCACCGTTTAACGCGAGTGCTATTATCGGGAATTAACTAAACGGTGCGACTAGATTTAAGTTGCCAGCTGGAAGATGCCATTCAACGCCATATCTCCGCTGCTTCGTGTTCATTTTTCTCCTGTCCACCATTTTTAATTTCTTTGTTTATTTTGTGCCCATCTTCGCGGGGAGAGAGAGGCTGAAAAAGAGTAAAGAGTGAGGGAGAGAGTGCTGGAGAAGATGGTGTGATCTTGCTGGAGAACCAAAAATCCAACCGTTGCGATGGCCAGCAATGCTGCGGGCAGCTGTCCGGCCTTGTCCGGATCCGTATCCGTAACCGGATCAGTGGCCGTGCAGCCCGTGAACCACACCCACGCCGTATGCGTGTGGGAGTTCGAATCGCGGGGCGGCAAGTGGTTGCCCTACTCGCCGGCGGTGTCGCAGCACCTGGAACGGGCCCATGCCAAGAAGCTAACCCGCGTCATGCTCAGCGATGCGGATCCCAGCCTGGAGCAGTACTACGTCAATGTCCGGACCATGACCCAGGAGTCCGACGCCGAGTCGGAGACGGGCCTGCTCACGATCGGAGTGCGTCGAATGTTCTACGCGCCCAGTTCTCCGGCTGGCAAGGGCACCAAGTGGGAGTGGTCGGGTGGCAGTGCCGATAGCAACACCGACTGGCGACCATACAACATGCATGTCCAGTGCATCATAGAGGATGCTTGGGCGAGGGTAAGTTCATGATTAGCCATCAGGGATTACCATTAATTCGTGTTTTTGTGTCCTCCAGGGAGAGCAAACTTTGGATTTGTGCCACACCCACATTGGACTGCCGTACACCATCAACTTTTGCAATCTGACGCAGTTGCGCCAACCTAGTGGTCCCATGCGCAGCATACGACGCACCCAGCAGGCTCCCTATCCTCTGGTTAAGCTAACGCCCCAGCAGGCCAATCAGCTGAAAACGAACGCCAGTAGCTCCAACAGCAGTACGTACAACACTCTGCCCAAGCTGGGCGACACCAAGAGTCTACACCGCATGCCCATGGCCAGGCAGCAGCATCCATTGCCTCCGAATCATCAGCAGCTGCAGCAGCAGCAGCAGCAGCAACAGCATCAGCAGCAACAGCACCATCAGTTGCAGCATCAGCAGCCATCGCACCATCACCACAGCCAGACGGCGCCACGAAAGCCCCCCAAAAAGCACAGCGAGATCTCCACGACCAATCTGCGCCAGATACTGAACAACCTGAACATCTTTGGCAGCAGCACCAAGCACTCCAACATGGCCAGCGCCAGTTCGTCCTCCTCCTCGGCCTCACTGCATCATGGCAACCACCTGTCCCATGCCCATTCCCATGCGCATTTCTCGCATGCCAAGAACATGCTGACCGCTTCGATGAACAGCCATCATAGTCGGTGCTCCGAAGGATCGTTGCAATCGCAGCGCAGCAGTCGAATGGGCTCACATCGCTCGAGATCCCGGACGCGAACCTCGGACACGGACACCAATAGCGTCAAATCGCATCGCAGGCGACCCAGCGTGGACACCGTGTCTACATACCTAAGCCACGAGAGCAAGGAGAGCCTGCGCAGTCGAAATTTTGCCATTTCCGTTAACGATCTGCTGGATTGTTCGCTCGGCAGTGATGAGGTGTTTGTGCCGTCGCTGCCGCCCTCGTCGCTGGGCGAAAGGGCGCCTGTACCGCCACCGCTGCCGCTTCATCCTCGCCAGCAACAGGTGCAGCAACAGCAACAGCAGCAACAACAGCAGCAGCAGCAGCAACAACAACAGCAGCAGTTGCAGCAGCAATCAATCGCCGGTTCGATTGTGGGCGTGGACCCAGCCAGTGACATGATATCCAGATTTGTAAAGGTGGTGGAGCCTCCGCTGTGGCCCAATGCCCAGCCCTGTCCCATGTGCATGGAGGAGCTGGTGCACTCTGCCCAGAATCCGGCCATCTCGCTTAGTCGCTGCCAGCACCTGATGCACCTACAGTGCCTGAATGGAATGATAATTGCCCAGCAGAATGAACTTAATAAGGTAGGTTCTGGGGGGGAAAAGAAAGAGATAGCTAGCCATTAAATGAGAAGGAGGGAGAAGCAAGTATCCATCCCAACCATCCCGAAGACTACTAACCAGGAAAACTTTGCCTTTCAGAATCTCTTTATCGAATGTCCGGTGTGTGGAATCGTTTATGGCGAGAAGGTGGGCAACCAGCCCATTGGCAGCATGTCCTGGAGCATCATTAGCAAGAACCTGCCAGGACACGAGGGCCAGAACACCATACAGATTGTATACGAGTGAGTAATGATCTCTTATTCCATCAAATGTGGATGACTTTATTTGATTTTCCGTTTCAGTATCGCATCGGGCTTGCAAACAGCCGAACATCCGCATCCAGGACGTGCCTTTTTTGCGGTTGGCTTCCCGAGGATCTGCTATCTGCCGGATTGTCCGCTGGGTCGGAAGGTGCTGCGCTTCCTCAAGATCGCCTTCGATCGGAGGCTATTGTTCTCCATTGGCCGTTCGGTGACCACCGGCCGGGAGGATGTGGTGATCTGGAATAGCGTCGATCACAAGACACAATTCAATATGTTTCCGGATCCCACATATCTGCAGCGCACTATGCAACAGTTGGTGCACCTGGGTGTTACGGATTAAATGAAGATGCTGAAGATATCCACCCACCCACCGAGGCCAAGACTCCCGTTTCTAAACTAATCCCGTTTCTTCCAAGTCGTTAATAAGATACTTTCTACATAATCTCAGTGTGTGTGCAATCCTCGTTTACTATGATATATAACATTTTTTTGCATAGATATATTGCATAGCGTTCGAGAAGCTCGAACCATAAAAAAAAAGAAACCAGAATGGCAATTAATGCTTCCTTTCCGCTCTTCCAATTCGTATTTGTACGCACCTAGTTACCCGATAAGTTCCGTACATCATATGTATTAGTTAGTTTTAGTTACATAGTTTAAGAGCTTGATAGTTAATAGCTTAGTTTTTTGTCCAAGAGAATCTTGACCCGAAAGACACCTACTAGTATTAGAGATATATAGACATATATATACATATTCCAGATTCTAGGCCAGGCCAGGCCATGCCATCTCCCCCCGAAGCCTTCGAGTGTAAGCTGTGCCAAAATCCTTCGTAGAGCATCCTCCCGTCTAGGATATATGTAAACATTGTTGATATATATAGCATATAATTCTCCATTCTCCATTCTCAATTCTTCTCTCTCTCTCTCTCGGCTTTTATTTTAATCTTCAGTTTCCAGATATTTGTATTTTTTTTTTTTTTGCATCATCATTATATAGGAAGCTATAGTTATAATCGAATTTATTAAGAGAGAGAGAGAGAGAGGGAGAGATGGGAGAACAGATTCTGGAGATTCGATAGACTCGTCTTTGGCCATTTAATCTCTTTCATTCAGCGAATTTGATGTGATTTTAATTTGAATTATTCATTACATTATTCAGCAATTTTGCTAGCATGCATAGATATTCCATTATATATTAAACATATATCGCATATTACCACATTACCACATAAAATATTTTTAATTGAATTTTTTGCACACATTTGATGAATTGTTGCTTTCATATTGATATCATCGAACATCGAACTACATTTACACGCATCGCATACATCGCAGATATAAATATATATATATATATATTATATTATATAGCTTATAGCGGATCTGGTCCGCATCACCATACTTGATATAATATGATAACATCATTCGACTAAGTTGTTTTTAGCACTGATTAGTTTTTAGTATTCATTGCGAATATTCCACATTAATTCCACACCATTCAAATATTGTGCATAAACATTCTATTTTATATACATTTAATATATAGTTCAAATAAAGTAATTTCATTCATGTTCAAATTAGTTGTGGGTTTTAATTTTTTGGGATAATTGTATAAGGTTTTAAAAGAAAAAATATCTTTATTATATATATTTCCGATTTTTTTTGGAAGCTTTAAAATATTAAATATCATCATATTTTTCAATTTTTAAAGAATACCTGTTTAGAATTTATGTTCCAGATTTTTAGGAATTTAAATATATTAACTTAGAAATACCTAACTACAAAGATGGAGTTAGTCTTTTAGTAATTTTTAATTCGGTTAATTTTTTTTAACAAGGAATAATTTATTTTTAAATTGTATTTGATAGGAAAGCCTCTCTCTGAACATTACTATATATTTTCAGACACAAGATTTGCTTTTAAATTCCACTCCTTATTGTTTAGTTAACTCTTAAATTGCTTAAATTTTTATTTAGTATCTCATTTGTATTTTCTTTAAACCAATTTAAGGGAACTTTTTTTAATTTAATTTGTTTATAAATTTTTAAAGCAAAAACTTCTTTATTATTTACATTTGCAGACATAATATTTGTTTTTTTAAGCAACTCCTTATTTTCTGAGTTGACATTTTTTTGGGCATTGCTGGTTTTTTTTTATTTATTTTTATTTTTCTTATTTTTTATTTTATTTTCTGCAATGCAATTCAAATCAATCAGTTGACATTTTTGGTACTTCCAAGGTTAATTTTCGTTTTCAATTTCGTTGGCAGTGCACTGGCTGTCGTCGTGAATCACTTAAAATAAATTAATAAAAGACAAAAACTAAGATGCACAATGCTTTTTTTTTTGTTTAATTTTTTGCATTGTTTTTTTTTTTATTTTTATTTAGTGCGTGATGTTGGCGAATCGGCAAAGTTGCCCCTGACCATTTAAGGGGCAACGGCAACATGTTGCAGACGTGTGTGTCGCTGTTGTCGCCTCTTCAAAGTTGAATTCAACATCAGCCTACGTGCTGACGTCAGTTTTGGCTGATTTTGATTTTTTTTTATTTTTTTTGCCAGCAAGGACAGTCGCCAAAAGTGGCCAGAAATGTTTTTGGTTTTTTGGTCTTGGCTTTCACCGCTCCTCCAAGGGCGCCACCATGTGGCAGCTGCAACATTGCCAGCTGTTGCTCTTGCCGGTCATTAGTTTGCTATTAGTTGAGTATTTTTAGAAACTATACATTTTTAAGTTTTATTTTTAATAAAATACATAAATTTCTTGTTTATTTTAAGGGTTTTAAAACTCACATGTTGCTGCTCCTAGTTGCCTTGAATTGATGTTGTTGTTGCCCGAAGTTGCTCCTTAAGATGTTGCTGCTGATGCTTCTGCTGCTGCTGCTGGCGATGTTGTTGCTGCTCTCCTTGTGCCAGTTGCATAAGCAAATGTTTTCCTAGAATTTACTGCATTTTATTTAATTTTTATGTGCCTGACAATGATCACCTCAACGTTGACATTCAATTCACGCACCCGAACGCATCAGAGTCACCAAAGTGCCTGACTTGGGGAGAGGGACGGGGGCCCCCAAGTGCGTAGTGATGATCATCAGCGATCCGCTAATAAGGTGGTTTTGTCCAAAAACGCCCGCTCCACTGACCCTGTTGGCATTCACATTGCTTTTCGGAGGAGGCCTCGTTCCGGCCATTTTTTGATTTTCAACTTTACAATAAGGCCGATAAGGTGCCTACTCCAGATCCGAAGCTATATCCTTAAACTGGAGGTATTCGTAGAGGTTTTGATGCAAATTGACGGAGAATCGAAATACAAATCATTTGAGGTACTCCGCTTAGGAATCGGATAAAAACTGGCAAAGATATAGACATGGGTAGGGGTCCTATACGAAAATCCACGATTTTCAAGGAGATGGCCCACAAAAATTAGAAAAAATTTGAAAAATTATTTTGTTGTTAGGTTTTGATGCAAATTGATGGAGAATCGAAATACAAATCATTTGAGGTACTCCGCTTAAGAATCGGATAAAAACTGGCAAAGATATAGACATGGATAGGGGTCCTATACGAAAATCCACGATTTTGAAGGGGATGGCCCACAAAAATTGGAAAAAATTTGAAAAATTATTTTGTTGTTAGGTTTTGATGCAAATTGATGGAGAATCGAAATACAAATCATTTGAGGTACTCCGCTTAAGAATCGGATAAAAACTGGCAAAGATATAGACATGGATAGGGGTCCCATACGAAAATCCACGATTTTGAAGGGGATGGCCCACAAAAATTGGAAAAAATTTGAAAAATTATTTTGTTGTTAGGTTTTGATGCAAATTGATGGAGAATCGAAATACAAATCATTTGAGGTACTCCGCTTAAGAATCGGATAAAAACTGGCAAAGATATAGACATGGATAGGGGTCCTATACGAAAATCCACGATTTTGAAGGGGATGGCCCACAAAAATTGGAAAAAATTAAAAAAATTATTTTGTTTTTAGGTTTTGATGCAAATTGATGGAGAATCGATATACAAATCATTTGAGGTACTCCGCTTAGGAATCGGATAAAAACTGGCAAAGATATAGACATGGATAGGGGTCCTATACGAAAATCCACGATTTTGAAGGGGATGGCCCACAAAAATTGGAAAAAATTAAAAAAATTATTTTGTTGTTAGGTTTTGATGCAAATTGATGGAGAATCGAAATACAAATCATTTGAGGTACTCCGCTTAAGAATCGGATGAAAACTGGCAAAGATATAGACATCGGTATGGGTCCTATACGAAAATCCACGATTTTGAAGGGGATGGCCCACAAAAATTGGAAAAAATTTGAAAAATTATTTTGTTGTTAGGTTTTGATGCAAATTGATGGAGAATCGAAATACAAATCATTTGAGGTACTCCGCTTAAGAATCGGATGAAAACTGGCAAAGATATAGACATCGGTATGGGTCCTATACGAAAATCCACGATTTTGAAGGGGATGGCCCACAAAAATTGGAAAAAATTTGAAAAATTATTTTGTTGTTAGGTTTTGATGCAAATTGATGGAGAATCGATATACAAATCATTTGAGGTACTCCGCTTAAGAATCGGATGAAAACTGGCAAAGATATAGACATGGGTAGGGGTCCTATACGAAAATCCACGATTTTGAAGGGGATGGCCCACAAAAATTGGAAAAAATTTGAAAAATTATTTTGTTGTTAGGTTTTGATGCAAATTGATGGAGAATCGATATACAAATCATTTGAGGTACTCCGCTTAGGAATCGGATAAAAACTGGCAAAGATATAGACATGGATAGGGGTCCAATACGAAAATCCACGATTTTGAAGGGGATGGCCCACAAAAATTGGAAAAAATTAAAAAAATTATTTTGTTGTTAGGTTTTGATGCAAATTGATGGAGAATCGATATACAAATCATTTGAGGTACTCCGCTTAGGAATCGGATGAAAACTGACAAAGATATAGACATGGGTAGGGGTCCTATGCGAAAATCCACGATTTTCAAGGGGATGGCCCACAAAAATTGGAAAAAATTTGAAAAATTATTTTGTTGTTAGGTTTTGATGCAAATTGATGGAGAATCGAAATACAAATCATTTGAGGTACTCCGCTTAAGAATCGGGTGAAAGCTGGCAAAGATATAGACATGGGTAGGGGTCCTATACGAAAATCCACGATTTTGAAGGGGATGGCCCACAAAAATTGGAAAAAATTTGAAAAATTATTTTGTTGTTAGGTTTTAATGCAAATTGATGGAGAATCGAAATACAAATCATTTGAGATACTCCGCTTAAGAATAGGGTGAAAACTGGCAAAGATAGAGACATGGGTAGGGGTCCTATACGAAAATCCACGATTTTCAAGAGGATGGCCTACAAAAATTGGAACAAATTTTCAAAATTATTTTGTTGTTAGGTTTTGATGCAAATTGATGGAGAATCGAAATACAAATCATTTGAGATACTCCGCTTAAGAATCGGGTGAAAACTGGCAAAGATATAGACATGGGTAGGGGTCCTATACGAAAATCCACGATTTTGAAGGGGATGGCCCACAAAAATTGGAAAAAATTTGAAAAATTATTTTGTTGTTAGGTTTTGATGCAAATTGATGGAGAATCGAAATACAAATCATTTGAGGTACTCCGCTTGAGAATCGGATGAAAACTGGCAAAGATATAGACATGGGTAGGGGTCCTATACGAAAATCCACGATTTTGAAGGGGATGGCCCACAAAAATTGGAAAAAATTTGAAAAATTATTTTGTTGTTAGGTTTTGATGTAAATTGATGGAGAATCGAAATACAAATCAAAAAACAAATCAATTCAAAAATGGAAAAAATTTGAAAAATTATTTTGTGCTGAGGTTTTGATGCAAATTGACGGAGAATCGAAATACAAATCATTTGAGGTACTCCGCTTAAGAATCGGATGAAAACTGGCAAAGATATAGACATGGGTAGGGGTCCTATACGAAAATCCACGATTTTGAAGGGGATGGCCCACAAAAATTGGAAAAATTTGAAAAATTATTTTGTTGTTAGGTTTTGATGCAAATTGATGGAAAATCGAAATACAAATCATTTGAGATACTCCGCTTAAGAATCGGGTGAAAACTGGCAAAGATATAGACATGGGTAGGGGTCCTATACGAAAATCCACGATTTTGAAGGGGATGGCCCACAAAAATTGGAAAAAATTTGAAAAATTATTTTGTTGTTAGGTTTTGATGTAAATTGATGGAGAATCGAAATACAAATCATTTGAGGTACTCCGCTTAAGAATCGGATGAAAACTGGCAAAGATATAGACATGGGTAGGGGTCCTATACGAAAATCCACGATTTTGAAGGGGATGGCCCACAAAAATTGGAAAAAATTTGAAAAATTATTTTGTTGTTAGGTTTTGATGCAAATTGATGGAAAATCGAAATACAAATCATTTGAGATACTCCGCTTAAGAATCGGGTGAAAACTGGCAAAGATATAGACATCGGTATGGGTCCTATACGAAAATCCACGATTTTGAAGGGGATGGCCCACAAAAATTGGAAAAAATTTGAAAAATTATTTTGTTGTTAGGTTTTGATGTAAATTGATGGAGAATCGAAATACAAATCATTTGAGGTACTCCGCTTAAGAATCGGATGAAAACTGGCAAAGATATAGACATGGGTGAGGGTCCTATACGAAAATCCACGATTTTGAAGGGGATGGCCCACAAAAATTGGAAAAATTTGAAAAATTATTTTGTTGTTAGGTTTTGATGCAAATTGATGGAAAATCGAAATACAAATCATTTGAGATACTCCGCTTAAGAATCGGGTGAAAACTGGCAAAGATATAGACATGGGTAGGGGTCCTATACGAAAATCCACGATTTTCAAGGGGATGGCCCACAAAAATTGGAAAAAATTTGAAAAATTATTTTGTTGTTAGGTTTTGATACAAATTGATGGAGAATCGAAATACAAATCATTTGAGGTACTCCGCTTAGGAATCGGATGAAAACTGGCAAAGATATAGACATGGGTAGGGGTCCTATACGAAAATCCACGATTTTCAAGGGGATGGCCCACAAAAATTGGAAAAAATTTGAAAAATTATTTTGTTGTTAGGTTTTGATACAAATTGATGGAGAATCGAAATACAAATCATTTGAGGTACTCCGCTTAGGAATCGGATGAAAACTGGCAAAGATATAGACATGGGTAGGGGTCCTTCATAAAAATCCTAGAGGCCTGAAGGCGTTTTTTTATTATTTTCAAGGGATTTTGTTGAAAATCGATCCTAAAATCGATTGCATTTGGATATGTACAAATAAATTAGTCCTTTTATGAATAATTAAATGATAAAACGAATAACTTTCTTAATGAAGATCATTAAGAATTAAGAATTTTCGTCCAAATACCCATTGGAGTCGGCTGAAACTTCTCACTTGAAAAATATTTAAAAGGGTTTGGCAGACATTGACTTTCGTTAATGTTGTTAAGGTTTTTTATTTGATGTTTTTTATTCTTGTTATGGACCCCCCCCTCCTCTGTCTTCTCGTTCGTTGTATGCCCTTCTATCTGGTCTCCCCACCCCGCCCCACGAATCCAATTGGACATTAGTCATGCGAAGGCGTAGGGATTATCAGGTTATGGCTCTCATCTCTGCTCTCCTTTATGTTCATATTCTCACGTTCTCACATTCTCACTTTCCTTATCTCTCAGGATAAGCTGAGGCCTCTGGGCAGAGATGCTGACCGAGACCTGTGGCAGAGGCGTTGGCGATGCACTGGGAAAAACGCATTTGAGTTTAAGGCTCTGAAAATATAAGGTTTTCTTTATTAAAACACAGTTGTTTTAGAAAGTTTGGAAAATGATTAATAAATAAAATACATTTTTAATATATAATAGAAGAATATATTATTAGGTACAGTGTTTTTCTTTTACTTTTCACCGCTCGAGGTTCAGGATATATATTTTATTTCAAGCCCCAAAGAGAGCTGCAGTTGCAGTTGCGTTGACGTCGGCAGAGCTCTCCGCGTCTCTGCCGGGAAGCCATCCGATCCGAGCCTAAATGCGGCAACAACAGCGAATTGCAATCAGTCAAGAGCCTCCAACCGCATCAGCCGCACAGACCCCATCTAAGAACACACGAAAAACTATAAAAAGAAGTTTAAAAAAAAAAAACAAACGAAAATAAAAACAAATTTGTTTTTATTAAAAATAAGTAAATATTTTTTGGTGAAATCTTAAATCCCTTGTTTTTTTTTGGGTTGTTGACAATCTTTAAGTGTTAATGTGTGCAGCTAATTAATACTCGAAAACTAAAATAATAACTAAAATAACAACAAACCACAAATCAATCAAAAAATTAAATCCTAAAAAAAAAAAAAATAAATAAGAAAAGGCAACGGCGTTTATAACCGCGGGCAAGTCGCTAACAAGCCGCACGGCAACCGCCAAATGCTATATAGACCTCTCCGCCGGTAGAGAGCCGTCGCAATTTGATCTTTCCGTAAATTAAACTATTTACTCTTCAAATATTTGCACCGAAAACCCGAACCAGAACCCAGAACCCAGAGCGAGAACCTACAGAGTTAAAAAATTATATATATTTCGAAGTCTAATATTACAAAAGCCTCGACAAGTCGCGTCTCTGATAAACAGAACATAAAAAAAAAAATAAATAAACCAACAGGTGAGTACAATTACAGAGGTAATATTTAGACTAGTATAGGTGTATATTGTACCAGGCTACATGTTGGAAAAAAGATATAGAACTTTGTAGCGACTGGGTACTACAATGTTGGCTAGGAATTCTAACAGTTTTGCGGTGATTTTTGTGGTTTTCCTACCAAACTGGCGCCATCTGTTGGCATAGATATGAGTTATACATATATAATTAGAACACTGAGAAAAATAAGTGAGATTTGCCCAATTAAATAGAAATATTCATAATTCGGAATATATCTATTTATTAAGAGAAGACCACAAGACACCTAAAACCTTAAAAACTAAATTAAATATTTAATTTTTCTTGTAATCTTCTTAAAAAATATCTTTATACAATTAAGAACCTAGTATTACCCATTTCAACCCCTTTATTTTCCCCAGTGTACTTATCCAATTATCTTAATTTACCATAAAATCTTGTCTATCTGTTAGCTTTGAAATCTTTTGCTATATTTTTTATTTTAATTATTTTTTAGTCATAAATCTTAATAAATCTAACCAAACTAAGCCCAATAATTTTTGGTAATAAAACGTTTTTTAATTGGCCAAAATCAAAAAATAAGAGCTTCGATTACCATTTTGGTAATTTTTTGGAATTTATGCGATTATTGGCCACACGCCAGCCCACACACGAAAATAAACCGAAATGTATCTTACGGATTGCTTTTGATATATCTTTATTAGCAGAAACATACTGCCAGACATAACACTTTGATGGATGATCCATTAAGTTTTGATCTCAATATACTTTGATTTGTGTTCCATTTAGTTTATTTTTGGGTTTTGAACAAAATGGGAATTATGTTTTACGATTTTACGATTGATTTTCTTAAAAAGGTTAGAGCTGGATTTGGTTTATAATTTGGATAGGATTGTAAAATAGAACAAAGGGGTTTTTTTTGAGAGATTATAGCTTGCATAAAATATTTTAGAAAGCTATATGAATATATCTTATTTTATTGTTAAATATTTAAAGTATAAGTTAGAGGTTTAAATAATAAAAAATATAAGCCTGTTTTGGGAAGTAATTGGAATACATTGACATGGTATTAGTCTTAATATTAAAAGGTTTTTAGACTTACTTATTAATTGGTTATAATATTTAATTGGCTTATATGGCTTTTATCTATATATTTTCCATATATTATCCCCTATATCTTTATAAAGTTGGCTGATTCTGATAGTAAGAGGCATTTCCATCACTTGAAGGCCGCAAATCGAGTTGATGTAAGTTTCCTGCAGTTCATTGAGACATTTTTAAACCTGAACACTTTTAAGCAGAAAGCTGTTATTGTTTTAATGACAAGAACACCCCTTACCAAATACCCTTACCGTTTTTTTTTGCCAACATATATGGCCAAAACCCCCCTTTAGTCTCAAACTGTTTCAGTTTCAAGTTCAATTGCTCGTCTGAATGAGGCTCTGGGGCTAACGAGTGTTTGCCCAATTGTGGTTTTGAACTTGTTTGGCTTTTGGCCGAGCACGTTCTATGTATGCACCACCCCCTCACCCCCTCGACTTCTTGGCCATCTCACACAGACACCTGATTTCTTGCCAATTGACCGAGCAGGCTGATGTTAACCAAAAGCGAAGCCAAAATGTTGCGGCTTGCTAATCAAGCTTGCAACTCAATAAGCTACAAATTGCACTGGAAAAAAATTCTAGAAATTCAAAAAAATATATATTTAAAAGATAGTTAGCATTTAAGGTCTGAATTAGAAGGTCTTAACGTTTTCTGGCAGTGTGTATACGATGCACTTGGCTGTGTCATTTGTTTTCAGTTTTAGCCAAGTTTGATTTTAGCCATTTAGGGGGGAAATGTCACTACTCGTTGGGGCGTGGGGACTACAACCGATTCTGGCTAGCCTTCTGGCTAGAAATATATATACAATTTCTGATCATGATCGATCGGAAAAGTCTATGGGAACTATACAACAGAGCCTATAGCCTCCTCCCCTGCCTGAAGGCTATAATTGCATCATCGTTTAAAAAAACACTTCCATCTTCTCAACAAACATTTAAGCTTAATTCTTTATTATTTCATGTTCATTTCTATTTAAAAAAATTAAGTAAGTAATTTTAATATTTTATATATTTCAGCTATGGAGGTGGAGAGTGATTTGGGTGACATACAGAACGAGGAATTGCTGAGAAAAATGGTGAGTTATCATAAGAAAATATTGTGGAAATTTGATACATTTTTTTATTGAAAGTGATGGTTATTTTTTTTATGATCTATATAGATATATTGCTAAATATATAGCCAAGCCTTTTGCGGTTTAGAAGACCTATCCTCTTCTCTCTTTTATTGGGTTTTTTAAGCCATAAACCATAAGCCACTTTGGAGCAGTTCAATGGCTCCTTGATGGACTCGTGTCCTCGTTCCCAGATCATTGCATTGCATTGCAATTCGAATTGGGGATGAGGGTTATAGACATAAACACTGGTTTTCTAATACTCTTTCTTTAACATTCAACAAAAAAATTATTTTCGAATTAATTTGCTTAGCTGTAACCTTTGAGAATCGAGGAGAAGGGCGCTGTTCTAGAAACTACTATCTATTTTAAGAAAAAATGACTTAAGGACATACAGTCTTCGTCTATATTCTTTTTCCTCCCCAGACGACACTTTCAAGAATTGGCCAGAAGCCATTCAGAGACCCAGACTCAATCCGATCAGATCTGACTTCTATACGAGACCAGACCAGACCAGGCCAGACCCGACCCGACCAGACCAGACCATCCATGGCCAGTCAGAGTCAGAGTCACTTGCCAACTCGGTTAGTCAGTCCATCCAGGCATCCAACCTGACCAAATTGGGTCATTTATGGGGTTGCTCACTGTAGTTGCAGTCTGTGTGTTTTTCTTGTTGTTTTTGTATCCGTTTTTTTTTAGCCACTTTTTCTACGTGGGCTGCTCTGAGTTGGCTCAGACACTCTGAGTTGGCAATAATCGTTAAAAAGTCGTTAGAAAAATCAATGGAAATATAATGACGATTTTGATTTAAAAATAACTAAATATTTTACAGAAAATATATCATAAGTATAACATATTTTTTAAAGAAAATTGAGAAAAACAGAACCATTTTTTTCAAAATTCCAAATTTCAAATTTTCAAAATTCAAATTTGAAAATTTTAGAAAAAAGATACAAAAAATGGATAAGGTTCTTGAGACCGCTTATTTTGGTTCAAAAAAGCTTTATTTTTAGTTCTCCTAATATTTAAATATTCTAAAACTTTCAAAATAAACAACATTTAAAACTTAACTTATCTCTAGTGTATTTAAAAAATATATAAACAACAAAAAAATAAATAACAAAAAATAAATAATCTTGAAAAATAAAGCCAGACAAATAAATAAGAAGAAGCAGCAGCAGCAGCAGACGATCTGTGGCCCACGCAGTTAGAGAGCGAGAAGGAGATAGCGTGATATATAGAATAACGACAAATTGGGATGCTGCGTCTGCGACAGCGCTGCTACTGCGCTGCTGATGTTGCCGCCTTGCGCCGCGTCGGTTGCTGATAAAGCCGGCGATGAGTCATTGGGGCCGTGAATCAATTTCAGTGTTTTTGGCCTTTTGAGCTCCGCCGTTGACCGATGACCCTTCTTAGCCAGCAGTGCTCCACCTCCTACTTTTCTTGTTCTTATTCTTTTCTCCCCTTTCCTGATTCTTCTACTTCCCTTTCTTCGCGACTTGCCAACTCTGCTCATTTCTTTCTGGCCGCCTTTCACTACTCTCTTTCTCCCTCTCTCTCTCTTGAGACTTTTTTTCATAATCCTGGATTGTTGCCAGCCTTGAATATGACTCTAAACAGGGCTGCCAACATAACTAAGAATAAGAGTAACTAACAGAAATCTCTTATCTTACGATTCCTTATCTTATCAAGATGTTAGTTTAATTAGACTAATTAGAAAAAAAAGATAAACAAGAAAGGAAAGCTAACTTCAGGCGGAGCCGAAGTTTATATACCCTTGCAGTTAAAACCGGATATATATCGCAAACATCGGATATAGTTGGCAGATCCTTATGATTACATCATAATAAAACCAATTTACTAAAATAAAAAATCTAAAATAAGTCCCAAACTTCTATCTTCAAAAATACGAAAGTTGATATTTCTACCAAGTACCATTTCCGATCGTTCAGTTATATGGCAGCTATAGGATATAGTCGACCGATCCTAATGAAATTTGGTAGGTCGGATCAACTGGCCAATAATAGAATCCGTATTAAGTTTCAGCTTTCTATCTTCAAAAACACGAAAGTTAGGTCATTTCCGATCGTTCAGTTATATGGCAGCTATAAGATATAGTCGGCCGATCCTTATGAAATTTGGCATGTCACAATAATTTGCCAAAAATAGCTCTCATGTCAAATTTGAACTCTTTAACTCTAAAAACACCAAAGTTATACCATTTCCGATCAATCAGTTATATGGCAGCTATAGGATATAGTCGGCCGATCCGGGCCGTTCCGACTTATATACTGCGTGCAAAGAAAAGAAGGGTGTGTGCAAAGTTTCAAGACGATAGCTTCAAAACTGAGAGACAAGTTCGCGTAGAAACGGACAGACAGACAGACAGACAGACGGACAGACGGACAGACGGACAGACGGACAGACGGACATGCTCATATCAACTCAGGAGGTGATCCTGATCAAGAATATATATACTTTATAGGGTCGGAGATGTCTCCTTCACTGCGTTGCACACTTTTGGACAAAATTATAATACCCTCTGCAAGGGTATAACAAAAGAAAAGACTAAGAAGAATACTAAGAAAACAAATCAGAAGAATAATAAGCATATAAATGTCATATGACAACCCTGGTTAAAAACAAAAAATGAAAGAACCCAGAACCGGAGAACCAAGTATTTTCCCTTTTTTTTATTGAACTCTTTTTTTTTAGCTTTGGCCCACTCCTTCGACCATGAGGCGATTCAATTCAAGAATTGGATGCGATTCGATTCAATTCAATTCGACTCAGTTGAAGTTGAAAAATCGCGTGGGCCCGCCAGTCCGACGACTGAATAAATCAATGAGTCGAACTTCGAATTGGCACAAAAGCGTAATGTAAAAAAATAAAATCAAAGTAACAGAAACACCCGCTTATGGCAAATGGCCAAAAGGCACTCAGAAAAATAGTTTAGGTTAGATTTAATTAAAAAAGAAAATCCCAGACGAAAAGAAAAATATTTATCAAAATAGTCTAAAAATCCTAGAATTATTCTGTATTTTTATTTTCTTAAACAAATATTTATTTTCCTTTGTGTATTTTTGTGGAAAACCAAGACAGTGGACACTGGACATGAGCAGACACATTATAGACCGCCGTTCTACTGAACTCTCCTCTGTCTAGTCACGACGTCTCCGTCACTGTCTGCGTCTGCGCAACGTCTGCGCCGGCGTCGATGAGTAATTTGGCTTAAATCGAGCTCAAAATTTGTCTAATGTGGGTGCCAGCTGTTCGAGTGCTTTCGACCAAATAGTTTGTGGCCCAAAAGGTGTTTATTATTAACATATTGCAACAATGACACCCACCATTCGCCCCAAGACTATTGACTGATTTATTTATATAATTTACACGGATTCTTTTGAATGACAAATGACGATTTTGGACACGTTTCCGCGGCATAAGCGGCATACGCGGCGGATGAGCAATATCCACAAATTTGTTATAAAATACGATTATTTGTCAAAAGCCCTTTTGTCCAATTTTTGAGTTATTTATTTAAACACGTTTAAAAATAAACATTGATTTATAAGTTTTTGTTAGTTTTTCAATAAAATAGTGTATTTTTATCACAATATTTTTTACTTCCACTTTGAGTTTCTTTATTTTTTTTAATATTTTTCTATTAAAATTTCTAAAATCTCTTCTTCAAATATGGCGCATACGTCCTGTTGTCCCATTTTCGTTACAGGTTTCTTAATTCCTTTTTTTTTTAATAATGATAGTGTGTCGTGTGTGTGTTGGCTTAGATTTATGCTTGATGCATTTGTGTGTGCAGACACATCACCTTTTTTTTATATTTTTTTATATTTTTTTGCCAACACGCCATCCCATCTCCAAAGACTCGCCAGCTTTAATTTCGATTCTGGGCACAGTGGGATGAGTTTGTTTTTTTGAATAAATACATAAAATATATTAAATATCTACATAAAAAGGATATATTTAAAATAATAAAATATATTAGGTATTTACATAAAAAAAATATATCTATCGAATAGCCCCTGCGCCCTTATAAGTATGCTACAGAAAAGACCGATTTTCAAAATGTACCGGATATGAATACACCATGGAGGAATATATACATAAAATATATTAAATACTTACATTCAAAGAATATATGGATCTAAAACAATATAATATATTAAATATATACGAAGAATATAGTATCAAATGAATAGCTCTTATTAGGCCTCTGCGCCCTTATAAGTTTGCTACAGAAACATAAACTTTTAAAACGTACCGGATATAAATACACCATAGAGGAATATTTTATTTGTATACTTTCAGAAATATCATTTAAGACCCTTTCGTATTAAAATAATATATTTAATTAATTTTATTTATTAATATTTATTTAATAATTTTATATTTATATTTATAAATAATAATATATATTTTGAATGAACATTCAGTATTCAGTATTATTTAGTATGATATCATTTGAATAAATTTTTTTCTGTCTTTGTATATTATTTGAATAATTCTATAAATAAATTTCAACTCATTCTTGTTATTATTTATACAAATGTTCCACTTTCCTTATCAATAATATACCTATTTATAGAGTAATGATTATTAATAGACATTTTATGGTCCCCTTATCAGTTCTAGAACTACTTGCAGGAAACACCTATTGGAATCATACTTTTGACCCCCAAAATAGCCCCTTTGTTAGCCCCGTTTATTGGCCATAAATTGGCCAGAAAATTTAACCACCTTTAGTAACTCTCTCTAACCAATGTGATCGCTTGACGGTCGCGGTCGCGTCATCGTCTTCGGTCATATCTCGGCTCGCAGCTCGTAGCTCGCAGTTCGCAGCTCTCAGTTAGCGGCTCTGCCACTGCCACTGCCACCGCTGCTGCTGGCTCTCGGTCGCTACCTGCTGCCTCTGCTGGCGCTGCTGCTGCCGGCGTCAGCTGGTGACG